CCAGATCAGCAGAGTCCTGCCCCTTGATCTGAGTCAGTAAAGTTTAAAAACCTTGTTGGTCAGCAAATTAATGGAGAATTAAATGCTGTGTGATATCTCCATTGAAGAGAAGGGGAGAAAAAGACAGTGGTATGTCAGGATACCTCATAACATGTTGTGGGTCTCTTGAGTGGACCTAGACCTGCAAAATCCAACAACCCACCCCCCCCACAACATCGGCAAGACTGATTGTGTCAATGTTAAATATTTGAAAAATGTTAGGGATAGGAGTAAAAGGGGGCAAGGGGAAAGAAACTCCCCCTTTAAAGGGAATCGACTTTTACCCCCTTCTTGCTCTTTGTGTTTCTATCTCCTCCGGCTCTTTGTTTTCAAGAAGAAAATTTTAGGAACAAAACCAGGCCGAAAGCAATTGCAGGCAGAATGTGCAGAAGAAAATTTGTAATTGGAGGGAGGAAGGACGATTGGGTCTGCTGCTGCAGCAGCCTGCCTGAGACATAATAGCTTTTGCCAAGCTTGACAGGTTGACAATGAGCAGGTCCTGAACGTGGCTTTAATGCCTGATTGTTTTTGACAGCCTTGGGTCTGTCGTCAGGTTGATTTGGCCCGAGACAAAACTGTGCATTGCCTCTTAACGCTGTTCTCTTTAAGTCATGCAAAGATGGCTAGCCTGGATTCCTGGCCAGCGTTTGGATGCCATGGCAGCTATGCCTGGTCAGTGCCCCAGCCCCTTGGCCTCCTAATGCTTTCCTATCTCCATGTGATGCACAGCTGGAGGGCACCCCGCTGAGCACAGCCTGCAGAATTTACTCAGTTTTACAGGAAGTGGATGAAGGACCCATTGGAAGAAAAAAAAAAACCTTGGTAATCTAGATTCTGTCTGATTCTTTCACATTTGAGCCCATATCTTCTGCCTGCCACTCGCAGCACTGTTTTGTTGATGGGATGCTTCATCCTTTTCATGCCTGGTGCAAAAAGCCACCCTTCCTACCCAGCATGTGTATTTGGAGATGGAGTGCTCCTGACTGTGGAGGTTCCATTAGGCTTTTTGTAAGGCATCTTCACCGGTTGCGTGCTAAAGTACTAAATATTGCAGGGGAGGAGGGGAATGTGACCTCTTCCTAATGGCCTGATCCAAAAATTTTTGGCAAGACCTTTCCACGCATTTTTGAAGGGATGTTTTTTAAGGGGGAGTGTGGAGAATGAACTTGGGGCTGGAGGATCTTCCTGCCTTTTTGGTGAGAAATGGCCCACTCACACCCTCAGGAACTTAGGAAGGTGAGCAGTCTCTCCCCCCCATGCTTTTCAGTGTGTGAGTTATTGTAGGATGGTTGTAGCTACTGAAAAAAAAAAAAAAAGCATTTCAAGTCTAAAAGGAGCTAGTTAATCCAGTCAAACCTCTGGTCTCTCCAACCCAAGAGTTGTCACTGCCAGATGTGATAGATGTGATACGGGACATGGTGTGGTTTTTTTTTCTCTCTTTCTCTCTCCAGACTGAATTGCCATCAGGATGCATCATGACAGGATCTGCTCCTGTATAAATGGGAAATGTTGGTAAAACAGTCACAGATTTTTGATTTCCCCCCTTTTCATGTATGTGTGTGTGTGTGGGGGGGCTAATGGTGAGAATATTTTTATTAATTACGAGGGAGTCATGGGTGCAAGTGGAAAAAGAAATTGTCCATTAGCATCAGTTTTGGCCTTGGACCTTTTGGCCAATAGAAGTACAGTAGCTCAACTTTGGCACATGGATGGGATTTTTCAACAGAACTGAACCAGAATCTAAAGAACAGTGTTGCTTGTTGGGGGATAAAACTCCTTGCCAGAAACAGGCTAACGCAAATCCTCAATTGAAACAACCTTGGATTAGCACACGTGGACATTCTGCTTATTAATAAATATCGCTTCCTCTTATTACTCCGCTAAACAGGGTTTACCACAACCCCAGGCGTTTTGTAATTTTAGCTAGAGAATCAGAGATTCTTGTGCCAAACTTGACAATCTGTTGCGTAAAGTTTGCCACTTGTTCTTGTGTTGGGTTATGTCCCAATACTCTAATGAACTTTTGGGAGTTGCTGGTTCAGGAAAGGAACAGAACGAGTGTCCCATTGAGAGGATCAGGCAGTGTGTTTTGACTGCCCCCTCTCTTCTCTTTTCTGCCCCAACAACTCCATTTTATGCCAAAACCCATCTTTGCCACTCTACCAACCCTGTCTTACTGGGGCACAGTGGTTTTCAGTGGTGCCTCTGCTTTGTGAAATGTCCATTGATAAACTGGTCCTTTCCTTCCCACATTGCCAGAAACGGCTTTAGCTAATGTAAAATTCTAAAGGTATCGCCTGGCCTTGGGGCAAAACTACCTCTCTGCTGTTATCTGACAGATTTGAATAATAATAACTGCTTTTCTTGATTTTTTTTTTTTTTTTTGAGTTTGTTAATGGCATTACGTGCCTGAACAAGAAACCTGAAGGACAGCATTAAGAGAGCTTAGCCTATCCCAAAATGTCTTTCTCCCAGCTTTTCCACCGAGGAGAGAAAAAAAGCTGATTGAAAAAGGCAGCCCTTACCGATTGCCATGCATTTGTTTCATTTTTCAAAAAATACACCAATCAAAGTTCTCTGAGCAGTTAATAGTGAAATGCAGAACAGTCTGACTAAAAACATATATAATCAAATGAAATTAAATACAAAATAAAACACCCTATAAGCTAGGCAGGTATGGTGCTCAGTCAGGTGAGCTTTTGTATGTGTGTGTAATCTTGGCTGCTTTATTGGTTGTGAACAACCTTTAAGCAGTTGAGGTAAAAAGCAGTTGTGTCAGTTGTGGCATATTTGTACAAATGGAGATGGGGAAGCAGATTTGGACGGAAACCTCAGGAGAAAACTGCATAGTGATATGTATCTGGGGAATTCAGAAAAAAGGAAGAACATGGTAGCTATTTTTTCTTAGCAGAGGGTTGAAGCAGATGACCTTTGAGGTTCCTTATAACCAAATATTTTGTATAGGATGTTGAAACTGCTGTTGGGTGAGAAAATCAAGAGAGAGAAATTGACTTAGTGGTGGCTTTTCCACCTTCGGAAGGTTGTAACCTCAGCTTGGCTGGGAGAGCTTGTCAATTAACTCCTCTCCTCTCCCTGGAATCTCTCACAGCACTTTTTGGGGTGGAGGAAAAAAAGAAGAAGAAGCAGGCGCTATTTTAAGAATTGGATGTTCTCTTGGCTTGCCTGTAATTGCTACTAGAAGAATATGAAAGTGGAGCTGGCAACCACAGGGGAAGGGTTTGCCCTAAGCCCCTTGTTAAATGGCAGAAATGTAATTGATGGCTGCTTGGAGTTTTTAAGCCTCTGAGTGTTATCCTCTCCTTTCCATCAGCAGTGGTGAGGACTCATGGGCTCTGGAGTTCCACATGTGGATAAGGACCGCCAACCTCTTGCAGTTCACTCCCCCAAGTGGTTCATTTTGCAGTATAAAGCTAAAAAAGATTCATTTCAGGAGTTCTCTGCAGCACTCTAAATTCATTAACGAAACAAAGACGGGTAACCTCATTGGACATCGCCAATGTATTAAATATGACTGTTTAAGTTAGTGTTTAGCATTTGTCTTTAAAAATGGCAATCCACTGAGTTGAACTCGGCTTTCGGCTTTTCACTACCTTCTTCCAGAACCCTTTCCAAACATCCTCAGATTCTTCTGGTGTTCTCGCATCCTTGTACTTGGATGGAAGACCACCAGGAGACCCTGGACCACAGGCTAGCCTGAAAGCTTGATCTGGAAGGAATCGTTTGACTTGACCTTTGATGTCCTTTTGTTGGGAAGAGAGGCTGAGTCAGGAGTCAAAGCTTTGTCTTCATCGGACTGGGAGAGTTTTCAGGATGTTGTCTATGGTCCCTTTATAGCAGTGGTTCTCAACCTGTGGGTCGGGACCACATTTGGGGTCGAACGACCATTTCACGGGGGTCATCAAACTACGGTGTCCACCATTTTTTTCCCTTTTCCCCAGCTGTCCTACTCCCTCTTATTGGTGGCCACACCCACTTGGGGGTCACCACAACATGGGGAACTGTATTATGGGGTCACGGCATTAGAAAGGTTGAGAACCACTGCTTTATAGGAAGGCTGACATTTCTGATTTCACCACGTTGAGGCCAAACCTCCCTGGGTGGTGCCCAGACATGAGTGCGATGCCTGAAATTGTGAAAAGCTGCTGAGGGCCAGAGTTGCCTGCTTGATCAGGTTCAGCCTCTTATCACTAAATGCCAGCTTCGTTCCGCCTGGTTGCCTGGCCGGAATTCCTTTTTGCCCTAAGCGAGTGGCATTTTCTGTACAGGCCTGTGCAGATTTGCCACTTGCCCCAGACAGGGGAATAAAGTGGAAAGAGACGTAGGTGCCGTGCTCTCTTCTGCCGGCTTCCTTCCCATGCTGTCTTCAAGCGAATGATGTTTCCTTTTCTTTCCACAAGGGCTTAGAGAGGCTTCCAAAAGAGGGTGAGACGATGCAAGCCCCCCCCCTTTTTTTTGGCTCATTCGGGGGATTAAGTTGCTCCTGTGTCACAAAGCAAAGGGGGGACAACCTATTCTCCAAAGCACCTGAACGTAGGTCAAGAAGTAATTATTAAAGAGAGAACCCAACCTAGAAGTAAGGAGAAATTGCCTGATAGTTAGAGCGATTAAACAGCCTTCAGAAGCTGTGGGTGCTCCATCACTGGAGGTTTTTAAGAAAAGACTGACAGCCATTTGTCTGAAACGGTACAGGGTCTCTTGCCTGATCAGGGGGTTGTTGGACTGTAGAACACCTCCCAAGTCCCTTCCAACTCTGTTATTCTGTGTATTTGTGATGCAGTAAAATAAATGCAGCCCAGATGTCACCACTGACCCTGACACTCTAACATTTGAACATTTGTGGGCTTCTGTTTCACCTTTTACCTATGCTTTGTTAGGTTTATCATCCAATGGAAAGCCTTGATGTTTCTTTTTTCTTTCTTTCTTTCTTTCTTTTCTCCCAGGGTGGTAAAGGAAGAGATCTCGGATGACAACGCAAAGCTCCCGTGTTTCAACGGACGTGTCGTGTCCTGGGTACGTGGAGTCACTTCTGCCAGATCATTTATGCGGGCAAAAGATGCAGTTGGGGGGGGGGTCTCTACAAAATGGGACCCATCACTTGCCAGGTCTTGGGGTGCATCTGATATATCTCTAGAACAGAAAACCCACGAGACACAAGAGGATGCAAGGACAGGTGACCATTAGCTGTTCCCCCAGCCACAACTCTGAGGTGCAAGCCTCTCACCAGATGCTGAGTTCCTTTTGCTCCGATGACGAATTCTTCCCTTCGTGATCTGTGGCAAACGCCCACCTCGCCTCACTGCAGGGGTCTGTCCGCAGCCCGTTCTGAGTTCCTCGCTAATTGCCTTCAATGGTTTGCGATTTTGATCCCTGCTTTTGAAAGCCTCCTCCAATTTTCGGCTCGTGAATCCATGCGCAGCCACCCTGCTGAGGTTGACTTTGTTTGCCAAAAAGCCCGTTGTCTGTCTGGGGCGGCGTGCCGGCTGACACAGGTTGCGCACAGTGGGTTGGCCATTGTAGGCAATTTTCTGTTTCATCGGCTGCAATAATGGAATGTCATTTTTTTCACCCTTCTTGGGAAAACCCCAGCTGATTCGCCGCTTTGGCTTTCGCACTAGTTCCTGATTGGCCAAGGATGATGTCATGCTTTTTTTTTTCGCCAACAACCGCATCCCGCCATCCAGGGTGGTACTCCCGCCCCCCGCAAGACTCCGTGGTATGCTTCTCCTTTTCACGAGCAAGGTTCTTTCCCAGGTCTGCTACTGATTCCGATAAATGGATAAAATCTGTTCAGCTTTAGATTGTTCCGAAAAACAGCAAGGCAGAGGGATGGGTGAAAAACAGTTCACAAGCAATCCATCATGGAGTAACAATGGCTTTCTCTGAATGGAAGGAAACACATACTTTAGCATGGTGGCCTGTTCTATAGAGAATTGTCCCTTAGAGCTGATCTTGTCTTGTACAGCCCCAAACCTCGGTCTCTGATGTTTAAGTCTAAATCTACATCTACATTATGGTAGTCTTAGATGGTTATGCGTTGGCAAAATAAAAGCACACTGTGTTATTTATATGATTAAAATCCATGCAAGCTCTCACATTGTGTTTTATATGGGTTGGCTTTGCCCTTTGCACACGCCCAGAATCCCTGCAATGGGCAAAGCCTTAGCTTTAAATTCTCAGTTTGTCCAGCAAAGTATTAAGCCTTGGTTTTCTGTCCCTTTATAAATTAGAATTGGCAGGTCTTCAGATCTTCTAAAAGACATTACCTACCCACTTTACAGCATATTTTTAGAACAACAAAAACTAGATTATTATTTTTTAAGGGTGTGTGTGGATTTTGGCTCACTAACTTGACCGCTCCAATCTCTGTATTTTTCCCCTCCAGTCCTATCGTTTTTTTTCTCTGCGCTGATTTGTCTTGTTAGTCTTTAAATGAAGATGTCATTCACGCCCACCTCAAAAAAACCACCTACACTGAATTCTCACTCTCTCTTGGGGGAAGCATTTCGCTGTTAGGAACCTAATAGGGAAGAAGAAAAAACACATGTAACATTTGCATTTTTCTTTGATTCCCCCCCCTCCTCCTTTTAATTCACGCAAACCTTTTCATCAGCAAAAATGATGCCAGAGGGGCAGATGGTCCCCTGGTATTTTCCCCGCCATTCTGTCAATCCACCTCTTTGACATTTCTTCCCGATGAACATTTTCCCTGAAGATCAGCTTGGGGGAATATCAATTTTATGCCTTCTGTCACTGGTTGGTTTTTGCCTTTAGTATTCTTTTAACATTTCCCCAGGATTACTCTTTCGAAATTGGGGAGAAGCGGGCTTCGCTGGGATGAGAAACACACAGCTATTTTGTGCTGAACCTCATTCTTGTATGAGCGTGGAAAAAAGGCTGGCTTTGGGAAGTGAATCTGTTCGGGTGAGACATCTCTCAGGCTGGAAGATAAACAGACACAACTGAGACCCAGACTAGCTTTGAATACAGTCCTGCTTCTTGTGCCTGGAGCAGTGGTTCTCAACCTTTTTAATGCCGCGACCCCCAACCGGTCGTAAGTCGAGGACTACTCAACTGGTGCAGCACCGTTTGCAGAATGGGACTTTTGGCGGGCTCAGCAGGGCAGAGACAGCCTGGACAATTCCTATTGGCTTTTGAAAGCCAATAGAATTAGACTCTATTCAAGAGAGTCTATTCTATTGGCTTTCAAAGCCAATAGAATAAAAGGGAGTAGCACAGCTAAGGAAAAGGGGGAAAAAATGGCGGACTGCCTTGTTTGGCGACCCCCGTGAAATGGTCGTTCGACCCCAAATGGGGTCCCGACCCACAGGTTGAGAACCACTGGCCTGGAGGGATAAAGTAGCCAACTTGCTATTTGTTTGTTTGTGTGTTTGTATTTCACATTTCTGAACCGCCCATCTTCCTCAGAGAGAGATTCTGTCAGCTTCTGTTTGCATCACCTGCAGTTAGAAAGTTTGGATTTCCTGAGGTGCAATTGTTTAGTCTCTGGGTCAGACGGGCAATTCTCCTTTTTCGGTCTAGCAAGCCACTCAGGAAGACACAGAAGTCAGGATGATGGTTAACAAGGCACTCTTTTTCACAGCATTAAGTTGGTGTATCCTCGTCCTGACATCCTCATTTAATTCACCTCCTTGTCTTGCAGCTGGTCCTGGCCGAGAGCTCCCATTCAGATGGCGGATCGCAGTGCGCAGAAAGCCACACGGATCTTCCTCTTCCCCTTGAGCGAACCGGGGGCATCGGAGACTCTCGCCCGCCTTCCTTTCAGTATGGTTCGATTTAAACATCTCAACACGTGCTCATTCTGCTGCATGCAATATTAACCTGGGCGTATTTTCCAGAGCTTAAAAAAAATATGATGGGGAAATCTGTGGAAGGCATTGATCTCTCCACTTCCAGCAGCTGGAGTGACCGATGGTCAGGGAAGATGGGAACTGTAATCCAGCAAAAGCTGGAAACCCTCAAGGTGTCCACTCTTTGGGTCTTCTCCTTGAGATGCTGGATTGCTCCTTGCAAATACTCATTTTTCCATAGAGAAGACTGTTTCCTACCCTGGTGCTAGTTTGACTGCCTTGGTGAGAGAAGGCGGTCCATATCATCAGATAGGGAGCAGCAAGCAGGGATTGTGTTTAATCACAGGCATCACACAATGATCAGATACGGGTTTAGATGGTAATATCCAATGTTACGCAGGCTGGGTATCCCTGTTGTGAAACTCAGCTTTTGAAAAATGCTGGCAACTTTGACTGAGCGACAAAATATTTTCTCTCTATTCCCTCTATTTGTTAAAATTGTCAGGCAAAGCTAGTGAAAAGGTGCTTGTGCAAAACAGGGCTTAAGAAGTAATGTATTCATGGGATATTTCAGAAACATGTCTTTTAATACCTTTTTTTAAAAAAAAAAAAGTCATTGGACGTGGATTTGTGTTCACGCAGATACAGGTAGACCTCGGCTTATGATCGCAATAGAGCCCAAATTTTCTATTGCTAAGCAAGGCAGTTGTTAGGGAAGTTTTGCCCCATTTTATGACCTTTTTTTCCACAGTTATTAAGCAAATCATTGCAGTTGTTAAGTGAATCGTACAGTCGTTAAGTGAATCTGGCTTCCCTCATTGACTATACTTGTCAGAAGCTAACTGGGAAGCTTACAAATGGTGACCACATGCTCTCGAGACACCGCAACTGTCATAAATGCCAAGTGACTGAATTTTGATCCCATGACCATGGGGATGTTGCAACGGTCATAAGTGTGAAAAATCCATCATAGGTCACTTTTTTCAGTGCCGTTGTAACTTCAAATGGTCACTAAACAAATGGTTGTAAGTAAAGGACTACCTGTATTGCAGCAGGTCAACATTTGGAGGGTCACAGGTGTTTTATGCCTACTTCAAACGTTCTTATAAAGCAGTTTCTAAAAAGACAACAGTTTGGCCTGCACTCAGTTTAAAGAGTGGGACATCTTAACCAAGGGTTAACCAGCTGAGTTAAAAATAATGCTGATAATAAAACAAGGAATCTGATAAAATCAGGAGCTCTGAGTCCAGGACACTCTCTCCCCCCCCCGTTCCCCCCCCCGTCCTGGGAATGGGTCACACCCTGTGTAGCATTTCCGCCTAGAACAGTTAGAGAGAGAGAGATTGATTGCTTCAGCCAGCCTGCTTCCATTGCTTCAGCCAGCCTGCTTCCTGCTTTTGCAGTGATGTTTCTGCCCTCTCCTGGCTGTTCCCTTGCATGATCTGAGAAGATGGGGTTTTTTTTTTAGTTCCCCTAAGATACACATGAACAACTGAAGACTTGCTTTTTGAGTCTGTCTACCACATTCACCAGAAGGCGGTGAATGCGCTTGTGTGAACCCAGCCGAACAGTAGCAGTTAAAAAGACCCAGTCATTCCCAAGAAACAGTCACTAAATGAATGTTGTGAGTTGAGGACTATGTGTATTTGTCTTCATATATTCTTCTTGATATATATCTGGCCTTGAAGCACATCCGCAATTTATAATGGGTTTAGTAGTTGAAGATGTATTAATTGGAAGGAATCTGCTGGCACCTTTTCCAGTTAACACATTTTATTAAAAGCCGTAAGACTTTGGTTAGCTTATAATAATGGAGATTTATTAAAGGGTTCCATGTAAACGATACAGCCTGGCTTAGTGTGTGCATCGCATTGAATGCCATCTCTCCTTCTTCTTCCCCAGCCCAAATGCCTCAAGCAGCCGAGATGGGCTGGACAACGAAACAGGAACTGAGTCAGTCGTCAGCCACCGGCGGGATCGTCACCGGCGGAGGAACCGAGAAGGTCACGAAGATGGTAAGTTTAGCTCTTCTCCTTTGCCTCTGATGCCTTGGATTGGCCTGGCATTTCTGAGGTTAGCCGGGAGCCTAAAACACATCATTAAGAGGATTTGCAGAGAAAAATCAGGCCTGAAAAAGAAAAGTTTGCACAGGTCTGGAGCAGCTTCAGCAAACGCCCAGTCCCACAATAGCCTTAGAGGCATGTAATGACTGCAAACAAACATTCCTCATGTGTTCTCAATAAGCAGGCAAGTTCGTATGGGATGTCTAAATTGTTTTGTTTTTTTTTTTTTTAAAAAAAAAGCAGGATCTCCTTTTTGACTTTTCACTCCTGGTGCCTTCACGGACCGTTTGGTGGTGTTTTCCTGGCAAGAAGGGGGAAGTAGCTTGCTGCTGCTTTTGCCCGAGATATTTGTTTAACTTGCCAAGCCTCACGTCCTGCCTTCGATATTCTCGTCGTCTTCCACCTCTGATTTAATCAGGACTGACCCAATTATTTATACCACCACAATCAGGGGCAAAGGGCCTTTTGAGGAGCTAGAAGGCGAAATGACAAGCTGTTTAGGGGTTCCCACTTTTCTCTCTTTCCTGGGGGTGTGGGGGGTGCATTTTTTTTTTTTAGTATTTTAAACATTCCCACAAGATCTAGAGGGTGTTTTAAGTCAATTCCTCCAGCAGCCGGGTCCTCTGCAGCCTTACCCATGAATGCTAGGATCGAACCACTCTCAAATACCAAGTAATCTGGGATTGTTGGCTTGCCTGCACTGCTGTGTGTGTGTGTGTATGAGAGAGAGAGAGAGAGAGAGAGAGAGAGAGAGAGAGAGAGAGAGAGAGAGACTGTTTGCTTACTCTTTGTGAGAATGCTGGCCATTTCAGAACCCATTCGGGAAAACAGCCTTCTTCTGAACGATGACCTCTGTAGTTGTCTTCATGCCCTCTTTTTTTCTTCGGAGGGAGCTGTGCCATCTGCGAAGCAGCAGGCAACAGCTCTCTTCTGTAATGCCAGCGTTGGTCTTGGGCACACAGATCCTAAAACAAGCCTGCAGGAGGGGACAGGTCCTTCTCTGCTGAGGAATAATTGCACTGACAGGGGGCGGGGGGGGGTATGGAAACAAGCCAGAGATGGGCTGTATTTTCCTCCTGTGCCAAAATCTGTTTTTATCCCTGTTTGGGGCCTAATTAAGGGAGCTTCTGTCTGTGAGTTTGGTGGTGTTTTATTTTATTTTAATGGGAAGCAATATGCCTGCTGTCACAGCAGGACGGAGGGCCGAGTCCCTCACCCTGGTTTGAAACAATAAACGCCATGCAAGGTTGAGACAATTGACCAATTCTGATTAAAAGGGAAAAGCAGAATACTTAATTGGAAGTTTAGGAGGTCTGTTTGGGGTCCTCATTATGAACTGAGGCTTCTTTGTAGCTAACCAACCCCGCCTTTTCTGTTTCCTAAAGAGGCGCAGGGAAGGGAAAGCTCTGGTTAGAGAGGTAATTAAGAAATGGAGTTTTGTTCAGACGTGGGACATGGATGGGGGTCAAATGTCACCCTCATCATTTCACTGCTTGTTCTCTTCCTGGTCCATTTTTTCCGGGGAGGGCAAGCAGGTGGATTTGACTGTCTGAACCTGGCAATCCATGTTGGGCATCCCCCAAAGGCAGAGGGAATCAGCAGATGGCTGCTTGAAATGTCCGCAGCAAATAATGAGGCGCGACCGGGTGTGGTGTGTCTCTGTGTGTGTGTGTGTGAGATGTCAGTTTCATTCGTGTTGTATTCAAACCTCCTCGGCATCTCTCCGACTGGACTCCACGTTCAGTTTGATGGGAAAGAAAATTGTTTTCCAGATTTCTTTTTCCTAAAGATGAAGATGTGTTTTAATGGTATTTTCTCTGGCTGGGCATAGCAGCATGGCTTGCATTTATTTATCAATGAAGTGTGTGTGTGTGAGAGAGAGAGGGGGGGGGGAGGCACTATCTTCTCTCGAGCTGTCTGCAATCTCCTTGGCTTCCATTCAGTCTCTCTCCAAGAGGGCATTTTTGACACTTAGGCTGGCTGCTGAACGACACCAGGTGTATCAACCACAGCCCTGATAACTGTTAGCAGTTTCTACCACCTTCACAGAGGAAAGCCTCTTGCATCTTAAGAATGAGGCAGAAAAAGCCAGCTTAATTTCCCTTTGGCGAGGGGAATCCAAACACAGAGATCAGGACAGGAGAAGGACACAGATCTTTGGATAGCCACAGATAGTCTTCTTGCCAAAAGATGCAGACCTGCATCTCCCTGCTCCCTTCCAGATGATTCTTTCTTTTTTCCAGCTGAGCCTCTGTTCCCTGAGCTCCTCCTATTTCCTACCCCCCATCCATCAATAATCTTCCCGTTGGACTTCTTTATCTGGCTGTCCTCTGTGGTCCTCCTGGTTGCATTTTTCTGGCAGACCCCAATGCCTAAATGCCTTCAGGCAGATGATTTCAGGGTCCAGGAGCCCTAACCACCTCATTTCATAGCCAAAGACTGAAGGAGGGTGACTTGCCCATTTAATTTTTTTTTAAAACTCAATTTTCCTCAACGTCTTTCTAAGCCGCTTAATAAATGCTGAAGGCCAGGAGGAGGACAAGCGTGAGTCTCTTATCACAACCTCCCTCCGTCCTACTTCTGGAACTGCCACAGGGGACACAAATCCAGGCAGTAACACGTGGCTCAAATAGTGTGTATTTGTGCCATTCATGCTGTCAGACTCCAGATGTAGCCGAGCGGGGATTTCAGGGCTAGCTGGTGATTAGCACGGGATGTTACGAGTTGGGAATCAGCAAAGTTGGGAAGGACGAGTCTAGGTTATTCTGGCTTTGAAAGGGTCTTTGGTTGCCTAGGTATCACTTCTTTCCTTCCTTCCTTCCTTCCTTCCTTCCTTCCTTCCTTCCTTCCTTCCTTCCTTCCTTCCTTCTTTCTTTCTTTCTTTCTTTCTTTCTTTCTTTCTTTCTTTCTTTCTTTCTTTCTCTTTTTTTAAGTCTTGCTTCTGTTTCAGCTGTCTGGCTGGAAAGGAATGGTTGATTTCTAGCAGCCCCCAAAAAACGCTTATCTCCAGAGTGGGGCATGGCAAATGGGAAATCCTGTAATTGCCACCATATGGTGGAAATTGGACTGGGGACTAGTTCAGGGATTCCTTTTTAAGGTATCCAAGAGGATAACTCTCTGGGAAAGCAGGTAGGTTTTGGTCAAAAAGACAGAAAAGGGAGTTTAAGGTTTTTCATCCTTTGCACCTAGGCGCTTACAGTTTGCATTGGAAGCCTTTTGAATTGGCAACGGAGAAGCAATGAGACGTAGGGCCGTTGCGGAGGACTTACAAGTGAATTAGCAGCGTAGCCATTCTTTTTGTTCTCTGCAGCAGCAAAATCCTCAAAAACAAAAACATTTGGCTGTAGCTGTGCCTAATCAGGACGCAGCTTATGGGAGGGATCTGCGCTTAAATCCAAACCCTTTGATTTTCACTAGGGCTGGGGATTAAGTTGACTTTTTGCAGAAGTGTGGTGTTTTGTTTTGTTTTTTTTAACAGAGTGAACAAACAATTTGATTTCTTCCTTGGGGATCCAAAATGTAGCTCCCTTTTCTAAAGACGAGAAGTACCTGGATTGGTATACGATTAACTTGTGGGACTCCCTGCCACAATGTCGCCACTGTTCATTTTGGGGGCTTTATTAGTCCATAAAGAGTTTCCAGTTGCCAATAATTGTAGTGGTTGATTTTTCCCTAAGCTAATTTCGCCATCTCTACTAGTTTGTCATCTTCACCGACCGTTCCTGCAATGTGGGTATTTCAGGGTCTTTTTGTTTTTGAGCATGTAGCAATCACACAGCGGTGATCAAATAGAACAATAGAAAATCCAACCTATTTATTCTTCAGATTCTGGCTACAGATTCACCCCTTCCCCTTTTCTCTCTCTTTCCTTCTCCTAGAAATAGACCACGTAAGCAAGCAATGTGGGCCATTAATTCTCTACTAGGTGGGAACAGACCCAGATATTTTTTCTCTCTTTCTCTGGGGGAAATCAAAAGAATGAGGAATCAGGAGTGGGCTAAGCTGTCCATCCTTTTCCATCCTGCTCATGTCTAAGAGAGCTTTCCCTACCCTTGCAATCCATAAATTCAGTTTGGCAGAGCTTCCAGGAAATAAAAAGCATTTGGAGATGCCCGAACTTGCTTACCAGATCAAAGAATAGCCAAGAATGTTCTCTAGCCTGAATGCTAAATCCCTTTAGATTCGCACTGTCCTGAGTATACTTATGGTAAGGCTGCTGCTACCTACCAGCAGCAGTGGAGGTGTTTAAAGTGGTCTACCTCAGGAATGGGCAACCCCGGCAACTTTACAACCTGTGGACTTCAACTCCCACAAATATAGTAGTTTACCACTGTGTGCAGTAGTTTACTACACTCTAATTTGTGACTAGGCTCTGTGGTGTAGCTTCTGCTCTTTCCAAAGACCTCAGCTGGCCAAGCAGCAATGGGAATTCCAGCCACTAACTACTATCCCATGCTGTTTGCATCAGGGCAGTTGCCCCTGTTGCCCACTTGGTGTGAGCCCAGCCCAGCCCAGCCCGATGACTTTGCCCATTAACTTTTTTGGATTTCTGCAGTCTCTCGCATCAATGGGCATCCGAAACTTGACCGACTCTGGGAACCTCCACCCGGTTACGATAGTTCCTCCACTGTGATGAGCAGCGAACTCGAATCCAGCAGCTTTGTGGACTCAGACAATGAGGAAAACACCAGCAGGTAAGGAAGTCCTTCGCCGCTCCACGACACTTTTCAGGCGTGTTTCTCAGACCTGACCTGGGCAACGGTGGGCTCTATAAATACTCTGGAGCACAACGTCTACCGTTGCCATTGAGTTAGCTGGCTGGGGCTGATGGGAATTGAACTCCAATAAGCCTTTTGAAAGTGCCAGAGGTGATTTCTTTGTCCACATGGAGTCTGAGTTGGATCCAGATTGGTTCTCCCTGCAGCTCAATGTGGAAATCTATTTGTTGTTGTTGTTAATTGCAAAGTCGTGTCCGACCCATGGCAACCCCATGGACAACGTTCCTCCAGGTCTTCCTGTCCTCTACCATGGAAATCTATAGCAGTGGCTAAATAATCTCTGCGTCAGAACACGCCATGCCTTTCGGTCAGCACTAAGCAACTGGATGTCTGCTAGATATTTGGGGCTGCAAAAAAATAGGGAATCCCTCACTGTTTGCCACAGAAGCTAGAATTTGCAGAAGAGAGCTGCCTCTATTTATTTTATTTATTAATAAAATTTATATGCCGCCCAATCCCTAGGGACTCAGGGCGGCGTACAAAATTAAAACAACAAGTATAACAATAAAAATACATTCACACAGCATGTCCCAATCGAATCCCCCCCCCCCCGGGGACATCAACCCCAGGCCTGCCGGAACAGGAGAGTTTTAATAGCTTTCTTGAAGGCCGGCAAGGTGGGAGTAGTTCAAATCTCAGGGGGGAGTTGATTCCACCACGTCGGAGCCACCACAGAAAACTGCATCGTCCTTCTTTGCATCACACCTCTGGCTCATGTTTGGCTCTGGTCTGCTGCAACCTGGAGAGACTTTTCACATCTGTGGTTGTGAAGTCAAACCCCTCTCCCATTGTCTACGTGTGCATTGCCCACTCCTACGCTGGCCTTGCCTGGTTCTTCTAGGTTTGGTTGCAGCTCCCATCAGCTGGGCCGATGGCCTATTCCAGTGGTTCTCAACCTTTCTAATGCCGTGACCCCATAATACAGTTCCCCATGTTGTGGTGACCCCCAAGTGGGTGTGGCCACCAATAAGAGGGAGTAGGACAGCTAGGGAAAAGGGGAAAAAATGGCGGACAGCGTGGTTTGGCGACCCCCGTGAAATGGTCGTTCGACCCCAAATGGGGTCCCGACCCACAGCTTGAGAACCACTGGCCTATTCTAACCCTAATCCCATTCTAGGACTGTCCATTTAGATGGACATTATGCTGCGATGGCGTTCATCACTCCACTCGCCTTATACCGAAAAGGACTGAGTCCAAGACTGAATTTTATTTTAATTCTGTTTTTTATTCTTTTTAATGAGTGTAAGCCGCCTTGGAGTCGCCTCCAGGTGAGATGGACGGCATATGCGTTGAATGAATAAATAAATAAATAAATGAAAAATAAAATCAACAATAAAAACAACCCCCCCCTCCCTCTTTTACACCCAAACCCCCCAAACTCAGAAGCCGTGAGCAGGGCAGACTTTCCTTTCTGAGCTGGCCAGGCAGCCAGGCAGAGCAGGAGAATGGAATGTGTGCAGGTATGTTGTTCAATATTACAAAGATGATTTTCATAAAGCCGTGAGGCATTCTAGCAGGAGGGGGAGTGATAAGGAGGGCAGACAAGGACGCTTTTGTCCAGGGCTGCAAAAGGGACATTTTCAGTCAGTATTGGGTAGGCCTGTTGTGGCAGTTGGGGTGGGGTGGGGGTTCAAAGCTTGTTCTGTGAAAAAGAGAGCAATGTTTCGGTTCTGCTTGTAGGTGAGTATTTTGTCTTTCTTTTTTTCTTGAACTCTCTGTGTCTTCGTCCTTTTCATTCAGAGAAATGATCTTTCTATGGGCTTCGATGTATCGGCTTCAACTTCAGATAAGGGCTGCGAACTGTTTTTGTTTTTGTTTTTAACTCACCCGGGGCTTGGCCAGGGTGCTTCTAGGCATGTGAAGAGTTGTGAGTCATCTTAGCCAGACTTATTTCTTTTAGCCTGGTCTCCTTAAATCATGCAGAACTTTGGCACCAATTTAGTGGAACTTCTGAATCCATTTCCCGGATTGAGTTGGAAATTTGAAGGGAGTCAAATGGCCTCTTCACTGATTTGATTACGGGGGAAAGGCTTTTGTGTATTGAAAAACCTCGCTTACTGTCCAGATCAGTTTGAAAGATCAAATCGGCCCACTTCTGTATTTTGGCTTTAAGACTCCCTTCACTGGATTTATAACGCGAAGATCCACTACTGGATGAGGTAGTTCAACAGCAGCACAATAGTAGATCTAACCCAATTCATTTTTTTCTCTCTCTCTCACTCTCTCGCTCGCTCTACATAAGCGTCTTATAAAGCCTGATATCTCACTGACAATATCTTCCTCTCGCAATCCAGAAGCAGCAGCCATCCAAGAAGCAAAGTGGCTGAGCTGTGCTCCGCTTTCTCAAATCCGGTCCTCTTTTCTTCTCCCTCCAGGTTGAGTAGCTCCACGGAGCAGAGCACGTCATCCCGTCTGATTCGCAAGCACAAGCGCCGGCGAAGGAAACATAAAATGCGACAGATCGACCGGGTGAGAGGCTGGGATGGCAGTGCTTTGCAATCTAAGTTTAAAAGGTTCCAGCAGTTGCTGTTTCTGGATCGGGCGGACATTCCCAGCTTGGGTGGCGGTCTCTGACATAGATCAGAGATAGCTGCAGCGAGGGATGGCAAAGAAAAACGAATACAAGAACAGCTTTTGAGGGCCTTGCAGAAGGCACCATGGCGTCTGGCTCCTCCTCTTCCTCATTTGAAGCCGCCAATCTCTTGGCCTCCTGCGAAGGGGTCAAAACGTGACTCTGCGGCCTCATAACTATGGGGCTGGCCAGTCCCTTGGGAGCCCTGCCTCACCTGTAATAATCCAACACTAAATGGCCATCTTAGGTTCCCCCCCCCCCTTTTGATGTTGAACTGTCATCGTTCTATAATTTTGCAATTTTTAACCCTAATTTAATTTTTAATTTCTAACGTTAATTTTTATACGTCATTGTATTTATCAATTATATTGTACACTGCCCAGAGCCCATCTTTGATGGAGATAGGCTGTTTAGAAATAGGAAATATAAATAAATAAATTTGCGGCAAGCAGCAGGCGCTCCCCGACAACCTGGATGTTTTTGCAGCTGGCTCTGGCCGCCAGTATGTTGACACTATGCCATCTTACCACTCTCTCTCCTCTTCTGTCTTCTAGTCGTCCTCCTTCAGCAGCATCACCGATTCCACCATGTCCCTCAACATCATCACTGTCACGCTCAACATGGGTAAGCCCCACTGGCTACACGGGGCAAGATTCGTGGGCATTTAAATCTGCAGAGGGAGAGAACATTTGACAGTTGATGTCAAATCAGCATTAGAGTGTCTTGGGCAGCTGCTGTCTTTCGCTCTGGTTTGGAGGACATAACTCCACACACAGGGGACATCTGCTTTAACTTTCTTTGTGTAATCTATTGTTCTCTTTCTCGATGTCAGAAAAATACAATTTTCTGGGAATAAGTATCGTAGGACAGAGCAACGACCGGGGAGACGGCGGCATTTACATCGGCTCCATCATGAAGGGCGGGGCAGTGGCGGCAGATGGGCGGATTGAGCCAGGCGACATGCTTTTACAGGTTGGTTGGAGCAGAGGTGGCCTCAGCAGATGTCCCAAAGGGCTTCTTACTGTGATCTGGGCCTCAAACGGTTTTCTTGAACCTTCATGAGCAATGATGCCGCTTTCTCCCAACACGCTGCCCTGTTTAAAGGGCTTTCTTCCAAAGGGCTGTTTCTCAGATTTAAAGCCCCTAGCCAGGCATAGTGGGGTGGCCATGTCACGGGGGTGGCCAAACAATGCAGTCCGCCATTTTTTTCCCCTTTTCCTTAGCTGTGCTACTCCCTTTTATTCTATTGGCTTTTGAAAGCCAATAGAATAGACTCTCTTGAATAGAGTCTAATTCTATTGGCTTTCAAAAGCCAATAGGAATTGTCCAGGCTGTCTCTGCCCTGCTGAGCCCGCCAAAAGTCCCATTCTGCAAACGGTGCTGCACCAGTTGAGTAGTCCTCGACTTACGACCGGTTGGGGGTCGCGGCATTAAAAAGGTTGAGAACCACTGAGCTAACCTGATTTAAAAGCAATCAGATGCAAAGGACGGTAAAGTCTGCCCTGGGTGGACATACCTGGCCATTACAAAGTGATGAGAGTAAATATAGGCTGTCTCTGCCCTGCTGAGCCCGCCAAAAGTCCCATTCTGCAAAAGGTGCTGCACCAGTAGAGTAGTCCTCGACTTACGACCGGTTGGGGGTCGCGACATTAAAAAGTTGAGAACCACTGGCCTAGCTGATTATTTTTCAGATCAGTCATTTAAAGACCCTGTTGGAAGGACAGAAGCTGATTTCTCTTTTGCTGTTTTTTTTTCCTTTCGGTTTTCTTTTCCCAGACCCATCAGCCTAACAGTGGCCAAATGCTGGGATCCTACCCCCAGGAGTTACTTCACAATCCCCAGGGGTGAGTGATTGCTCCTTGCTACCGTTTTTGGCATTAAGGGATATCACATTTTTAGACAGCATCCTTTTATGTTTGGTAAAATTGCAAAGAGCATCGCTTCGTATTCATGTCATCTCTAAACGACTCGTATCACCTCTTAACTTGGTTCCCAACATTATTTTTTCCCCCTGAGGTTGAACGAAAATGGAAATAACGTTTGTCTGACCGCTTTCTTTTTCTTCTTCCCGCCTCCTCCCTCCTTCCTCTCGTGATCCAGCTGAGCCAGTGCGGCCGATCGACCCCGCAGCCTGGATTTCTCATACCACGGCTTTGACGGGAGCATACCCCCGTTACGGTATGAGTCCTTCCATGAGCATCATCACTTCTACCAGCTCCTCACTAACAAGCTCAATTCCCGATTCGGAAAGTAAGTCACCCTGCCGCCAGGACCAGGCAGGTTTCCTTCCTGCGCAGGGCTGGCAGAGTAGAAATAAAAAGAGACAGTGCCCCCCACCCCCAAGCCATCCCTCTTGGCCCTCAAACCTTAACCCTTCCTCCAAATAAATACACATTAAAATGATTCCTGGCCCTTTAAGAGAGCAGCCATAAAGGAGGGCCAATTCTTCCATGCCAAGAGTCTCTTTCCAACAATCACCTGTCCAGATGCTTAGTGCACTCTAGGGCCTATCTGAGGGTTCCCATCCAGAGCAATCACATGCGGTCTTTTGGTTTGAAGGGAGCTTAGAGGTCCTCTAGTCCAGCCCCGTGCAACTCTGACAGAGGAGTCTCCGGCCTTTGTTCCAAAATTTCTGGCTGCACTAAGCATTCCCCTCATGGCCAGTAGCGAGGGACGTGGGAAACGTATACCTTTAGAAGAGAATATTTGTAGCTAAGGATTGAAGTGTGGGGTCCTTGGTGCTCTGAGCTTGATTGTTTTTCTTGCAGCTGTTTCGTTACCCAGCTAGATAACATCACTCGTGCTAGAAGGGGAGAGAGAGCAAACCTCAGTCCAACTTAACGCTGATGATGTTACCTAGTTGGGTAATGAAAGGTGTGCAAGAAAACCACCAAACTCATAGAGCACCAAGGACACCGTAAGTCCTTTATTCTTTTTAATTAGGCTCTCACCAAAGAATTTGCTGGTGGATACAAGCTAGCAAAATCTGGTTATTATGGTCACACACACCCCAAAGCAGAAATTTCCACTCCATTCTCGCAACAGGCTGCCCCTGTGTGAAGTTGCTTTCTTTCCCTCTGCCTTGCTCTTCTTTGCCCCTCCTGACGGTCCTCCTTCCGCAGAATCAGCATCTCCAATCTTCCTTCCCCTTTCAGAGCTGGACGAGACCCCCTTGACGGTGAAAAGCGACATGGCCACCATTGTCAAAGTGATGCAGTTACCAGATTCAGGGCTGGAAATTCGGGACCGGATGTGGTTAAAAATCACCATCTCCAACGCAGTGATTGGTAAGTTCTTCCTACTCTGAATCAAATTTCTCACTAGATTTTCTTTTAAACTGTGGCAGTGAGGAACCTGGTATGAAAGTTTGGCCAAATTCAGCAGCTTCCTGTGTAAGAGTTGCTCAGGATTTTCTCCCTGATCAATCCAGAATGACCCTGGGCATTCACTAACTTTAACTTTATTGTAAGGTTCCATTAACAGAAGAGAGATAGATGAGATAGACAGATAGACAGACAGACAGACAGACAGGCACACAGACAGACACACAGAGATAGATAGATAGATAGATAGATAGATAGATAGATAGATAGATAGATAGATAGATAGATAGATAGATAGATAGATGACAGATACATACATAGATAGATAGATGATAGATAGATAGATAGACGCAGACAGACAGACACAGAGATAGATAGACAGACAGACAGACACAGACAGAGATAGATAGATAGATAGATGACAGATACATACATAGATAGATAGATGATAGATAGATAGATAGATAGATAGATAGATAGACACAGACAGACAGACACAGAGATAGATAGACAGACAGACAGACACAGACAGAGATAGATAGATAGATAGATAGATAGATAGATAGATAGATAGATAGATGACAGATACATACATACATAGATAGATGATAGATAGATAGATAGATAGACACAGACAGACAGACACAGAGATAGACAGACAGACAGACAGACACAGAGATAGATAGATAGATAGATAGATAGATAGATAGATAGATAGATAGATAGATAGATAGATAGATAGATAGATGGCAAATAACCATGTTTCCATGTCTTCTTGCTTGTTCTTCACAGGAGCAGATGTCGTTGATTGGCTTTACGCCCACGTGGAGGATTTTAAAGACCGTCGAGAAGCCCGGAAATACGCCAGCAGCATGCTGAAGCATGGCTACCTCAGACACACTGTGAATAAGATTACTTTCTCAGAACAGTGCTATTATGTGTTTGGAGATCTTTGTGGCAGTAAGTGACCTCTGTTGCATGTCTCCTTTGGATAGGCTGCCCATTTAGTCAGTTTACCTTTGCTTATTTAGGCTGGTGTGTTCTGCTTTTGGTCTGTATGTATTTAAGCGCGTGTGTGTCTGCATCCACAAGTAGAAAAGGGTACTTTTACTTGAAATTAAACCAAGCCCTTAAACTACCAACTTGCCACAAGGGTCTCTATTTGCAAAACTTAATAATTGCCTCTTTCCCATTCTTGCTCCAGTAGTTAACAGCTAGCTGACCTTGACTAATCATGAAAAAACTGGTTTGTTCTGGGATGAGAGGCCACCAGGAAATCCCAAGAGTGTAGATTGGGAATTTTTTTTAAAAAAAAAAGCCTTCCCAAAAAGAAAATAGCAAACTGCTTCCATAACACCTCAAACTTGCCAACTTACAGATATTAGCCTTTCTACTGAAAAGACTACTTCTTTCATTGAGCAAAGTTTGGTCTAGTGGTTAAGCACCTGGTAGAAGTCAGGAGACTGTGAGTTCTAGTCCCACTTTAGAGGCATCAAAGCCAACTGGGTGACTTTGGGCCAGTCCCTTTCTCTCAGCCCCACCCACCTCACAGGGTTGTTATTGGGGGGGGGGGGGAAACAGGAGAAGGAAAATTAGATACACTCGCTGCCTTGAGTTATTTATAAAAATAATAAAGGGCGGGATTAAAAATGTTTTTAAAAATTAAAATTAAATTTATCACCCTGAGTTTGGTGGATCAACTGAGATCAAAGATGCCACTTTGAAGACAGGGCAGGCAGGAGTGCACTTGATGGAGCCCTCTGCTTATCAATCTGTTCTTCTCCTTCTTTGTCTCTCCCTCCCTCCCTCCCTCTCTTCCAGATATGGCTGCAATGAACCTCAACAACGGTTCCAGCGGGGCTTCTGACCAAGACACCCTGGGCCCCCTCCCGCACCCCTCCCCACCTTGGCCACTGGGGCAAGGTTATCCTTACCAGTATCCCCTCGCCCCTCCGTGTTTCCCGCCAGCCTACCAGGACCCTGGCTTCAGCTATGGCAGCGGAAGTGCGGGAAGCCAGCACAGCGAAGGTAGGCCCTCAGACGCCAGCTTCTGCCTTCCTGCTCCCCTGGCTATTCTGCGTATTCCTTCCTCCCCTGCGCTCGCTTTGCCTGTCTCTTCTCACGGACCCTCGCGCCCATCCTGCACGCGGCCTGACTCCTAGCGACTGCCATCAGGTAGGGGGACAAGGTTCGGCTGAGCTGCCTGCATGGATTCACACAGGTTCCTTAACCTGGTCAGGGAAAGGTCTAGCAGCTGCAAAGTTTGCTTGATAACGTGGCTTGTTGATCTTCAGGGGGCGGCCTCCCAGGTCACCTGTTTGATGCATTGGCGATTCCCTCCATACTGTGCAAATGTAGAAAAGGGGTTCGGGTTCAGCCAGCAGGTTTCAAAGGATGAGTGTTGTTCCCAACAACAACACTTGTTCTGAGTTCAGAACAGTTCTGAACAATTCAGTGCTGGCTCTTGCAGAGCTCCCAGCTTGCCAGCAAAGTACAGGTAGTTCTCGACTTAACAGCAGTTCAATTAGTGACCGTTCCAAGTTACAATGGCAGCGAAAAAAGAGATGTACGACTTACAACCTTCGCGGCACCCCCCAGGGTCACCCGATCAAAATTCAGACGCCATATTTATGACGGCTGCAGTGTCCCCGGGGTCACGTGAGTCCACTTTTGTGACCTTCTAACAGGCAAAGTCAATGGGGAAGCCAGATTCACTTAACAACCGCGTTGCTAACTTAACAACTGCAACAATTCACTTCACCGCCATAGCAGGAAAGGTCATAAAATGGGACAAACACTCACTTAACAAATGCCTCGCTTAGCAACAGGCATTTTGGGCTCAGTCGTGGTCGAAGGTCGAGGACTACCTGTACGTGGCTGCCTTGTGAGTGTATTTGTGTCAAGAGGGCCCGAATTGTCTCCAGTGGCTCTTCTGGCTGACGTGTGTTGCTGTTTTAAGTGTTGCTGCTATGCCATTCCTCCCGGATGAGGAACTTTGCTTCCGGTAACTGCTCTTTCCTTGTTTTATCCTGAGCAAGCCTTAGATTGAAGGATTCGTAAAGGATTGGTAAGCATATTTTTCCTCCCTTCCAAAAGTCATTTCCAATCCATATAGATCAGTAGTTCTCAACCTGTGGGTCGGGACCCCATTTGGGGTCGAACGACCATTTCACTGGGGTCGTCAAACAATGCAGTCCGCCATTTTCCCCCCCTTTTCCTTAGCTGTGCTACTCCCTTTTATTCTATTGGCTTTTGAAAGCCCATAGAATAGACTCTCTTGAATAGAGTCTAATTCTATGGGCTTTCCAAAGCCAATAGGAATTGTCCAGGCTGTCTCTGCCCTGCTGAGCTCGCAAAAAGTCCCCTTCTGCAAACGGTGCTGCACCAGTTGAGTAGTCTTCGACTTACGACCGGTTGGGGGTCGCGGCATTAAAAAGGTTGAGAACCACTGCTCTAGATTCTCATGTCTTTTCTTTCTCCCCTCCTCTGGAATTTTGAACTTGTTCCTCCCCACTTCCATATCTCCTCATCTAAGTCCTTTATTTTTAAAAAACAAACAAACAAACAAACCACGAAACCCGCTTTGGGCACCTTGGGCCCTGGCCTTACTGCTTACAGAATTCCTGGAGAGGCAGGAACCGATCTTGGCTGCAGCTAGAGTTGTCCGAAGTCATTCATCAACAGTTTTAAATCACACCTCCACCTTTTGTGGACAACAACACTTCAGCACCGTGGAAAGTTCTGCGCCCAGAAAGAGGTGGTTTCTACAGAAGCCGCTCGGCAAAGCTAGCCTGTTGAGCAAACAAGGATTGCAAGCTAGCTCCTGGTTTGCTGCCGTTGAGCACCTTCCCAGCGGAAGTTGACAAAAGGAAGGAAAGAAAGCAGGTAGCTGGAGACGGGGGGGGGAAAAGCCCTCTAGCTCTTCCACATCCAGGAAAGTTGCTTTTCTGCTAGAAGATCAACAGTCTGTTTTCTGCTGGGAAGCAGCTTAGGAATCCTATCACAACACCCCCCAAAAGCTAGTCTCCCCCTCATTCTACATCCCTGAGTCTCTGAGCATGGCACCGGAGGATAGGAACTCAAGGAACTTTCCTTCATAACCCTAAGAGGTTATGCCGACCGGCCCGTAGCCAAAAAAGGCACTGACTTCCTTGAGACACGGCAAGCAAACAGAAGCACAGACCTGTGTTTCAAAAAACGAAGGGGACAAATCCTTCAGGAGAGACAACCTGGCCCACAAGCTTGTGAGGGCAGAGTGGCTATTGAAAAAGAACGGGATATTTTACTAGTGAGGGCCGAAAACAGCTGGAAGGCAGTCACAGCACAACATTTTGTTACCGGATCCCCACTGGAAATCTAAACTCCCCCAAACCTGGGATTTTGGAGCCCAGGGACTCCCTATTTGCACAGTCCTTTATCCCGACGTTCACTTTCCGGAGTGTCTCTTCTTTCCTGCTGACGCGGCCTGCTTTGCTTCATCCCCTCCAACGCAACGTCGCAATTATGCGCCCGCTTTGCTTTGAGCACCTCCGCATGTTTCCGCATCCATCTTCATCCATCTTCCGCATTCATCCCGCGGTCTCTGCTTCATCGCTCCCGGGACTTTTCCGTGGCTCCCAACCCCCCCCTTTTTTTTCTCCTGGGCCTAATCCAGCTTCGTCTCTTCCTCCTCCTCCTCCTCCTGTCGCCTCCCCCCCTTCCAGGAAGCAAAAGTAGCGGCTCTAACCGAAGCAACAGCGAGAACAGCCGGTGGCGAGAGAAGGACCGCAAGTCAGCTGGCGGCAGTAGCAGCGGGTCGGACCCAGCCACCTGGAGCGGGGGTGGGGGGAGCGTCCTGCGGCACGAGAGGCCCCCCAGCCAGCTTAGCCACCGCAGCCACGTCTCGGCCACCCTCAGCCAGAGAAGTCCTCGCAGCCACCACGCTTACGGCCCGCCGGGAGGGCTGCCTTCTCTGGGGAACTTCCCCAAGCTGGGAGGCAAAGTCTATGCCATCAGCGGGCCGCCCGGAGGGCCCCCCGCGCGGGAACTTGGCTCCATCCCTCCTGAACTGACTGGGAGCCGCCAGTCCTTCCAGAAAGCCATGGGCAACCCGTGCGAATTCTTCGTGGACATCATGTGAAAAGACGTGCCTTCCTAGAGAGTCCGCGCAGAGGGTTCCTGCTCTGTCGTCGGCAGACTGGCCAGGGACCTTTTTTTTTTCTTTCTTTCTTTCTTTCAAAGCAACGGGGAAAGAGAGCGAACCCCCCCCCTCCTACTCCCCCTGCCCCCCCCACCTTGACAATCTTTTGCATGTCACACCCTTCTGACTCTTGATTGTGTTTTGCCAGCAAACGTAGGGGGGGGGGAGAGCAATTCCAGGATATTCAATCTGCCAATCAGGCATATTTTGTCTCCCCCCCCCCTTTTCTCCTTTCCCTTGTTTTCCAAACGTGATTGATAGGTGTTCCCCCCCCCCCAGATATCTTAAATGAGCTTTGTTATGCGTGGCACCTTTTCTCAGTGCAATTTTACTGTGTTTTCCTTGACTTAACCAAGGGATCGTATTTTATATAATAGTTTTTTTTTTAAAAAAAGAAAGAAAAAAGCAACACGGCAATTCTCCAGTCCTGCATATTTTGCACCTTTAAAAAAATATTCTGGTTCCTTTCTTTCCAGTCTGGGGGGGGGGAAATAAAAACTTACAATGGAGGAGGATTTGCTTTGATAAAGACAACACAACTAACCAGGGGCAATAAAGTTGGCTTTCATTTGTTGAGCCCCATTGCAACAATGGGTGAATATCTCTCTGTGGGTCTGTTTCCTCCTTCGTTTGGGCTACTTTTCATCAAGGTTTTCTTTGCACCTGCTGAGCCTGGTTCCATATTGGCCTTTCCCTTAAGAAGGGAAAACCATTTTGTGAGAAACTCGATGGGTTAAATTTCTCCTCCAAAACAATGAACTTTTTGGTTGCCTATTTTACACCTTGAAAGAAAATTCTGGTGATTGTAGGGCTTCGGCAGGTATTCCAGCCAGTTATTGCCAATTGGTGTTCCATCCATCCCTCTCCTTGCTTCCAGACGGGGAGAATTGCTGCCTTTGTTGGCCATACACCCTAAATCTGGCATCGTGACTTGACACTCTCTCTCTTATTCTGTTATGTTTTGGCTGTTCTCCTAGCCAATGGTCAAGCTCTGCCTTGGAAAAACATCTCTCAGTGGTACTCTTGTTTCCAGAGAGGATTTGGCCCAAGTGAGGTCCTTTCCTTTGATACCTGTGTTATGTGTTGGAAACAGCTGAAGCATTAACACAAACACATTCACTACCCAGATTTCCAAGCTGAGTGGCGAGAAAGTGCATGGTTTTGTTGACATGAGGAAAATTCTGCCTAGGTTGTGGTGCATTCCCCCCAATTTTACACTTAGATGCTTTGGTTTATCATGGCTATGTTTGCATCTGGATATTGTTTGCAGTTTATGCTACTGATTGCCCCCCCCCCCAATTGCTCTGAATTAAGAACATTTTATTGGGCTGGAGTGCATGGATCCTGATTTCCTGAAAGGCCAATCCAAGTAGGAAGGAAAGAAGAAGGATGTGTAGGAAAGGGGAAATTACATAGAGGGACAAAGTTGTTCTCTATTTGTGTGACAGTATCACCTGTATATTTTTTTCTGTTCAGGAGAAAACAGTGAAAAGGCAGAGAGAAAAAAAGTTCCAGGATGATTTGAGGAAAATAGAATGAGTCTTGTTATAGAATTTCAGATGCCAGTCAGCCATCTGTGCCCTTCCCCCAAGGGGCTCCATTCCGTGCCTCCCTCCAACTTTGACCATTGGATATGGGAGTGTGATGCAAATGCAACATAAGGTAGCTTTTGTCCTGTATGAACGTTGCAGTACCTTCCTGCTGGTGTCCCTTTCCCTGGATGCAGATGATGGGAATTAATGGGCACCAACCTGGCGAAGGCAGATCTTCAATCACACCTATATATCAAGGGCTGGCACTTGGATCTCTGTGAATCTCCAAGCACTTGGAGAGACTATTTTTCCCCCCAGCTCTGATAATCAAATGAGATCTTTCAAAGTAGCAAGGGAATCTACTCCCAACTGCTGACTCAAGTTGCTTTTTCACACATACCCCACACACACAGTTTTTCTCTCTCTATGGTCCTCTATGGTAGTGGAGATGAAACAGGTTCCCTTGGCTGGAGGTCGTTATTATTTTTTTTTAAACAATTCTGGCTGATACTTGGACTTTCACAGCTAATGGCAAACTGTAGCAAGTGTTTCTCTTTGAAGAAATTGTATTGTGGTTCCACATGGCTGGTTTATCTTGCTGGCCAGCCTGATCCCATATAATCGTGCAGAGAAGCTAGTCCTCATGAATTCATTGAAACAAGCATGTTTCTGCTTACTGAGTCAGAGACTGTTTTGAAAAGATGCGTTTACCCCTTTTAAATCTCTGACATATTCTCCTTTTCTGCTTCAGAGGGATCCTCAACTCCCAAAGGTTTTACCTAGCTGTGTTGGGATAAGCCAGCCATGTTTTGTGGGTGTGACCTTCCATCAGCTTTCCCGTCCATCCTTCCTGTTGCCAACTAGCGAGCTTGTTTTGGGCCTGAAGAAAACATTGAAATTGGATATTTTGAGTTAGCTGCTTCTTCCCCTTTAAAGTTGCATTTTACTGGACAGTAAGGAATAATGTCAAAGGAACAGCTTAATTCTAATCAGGGATTAGAATGACACATACAGAATTTATGTACAGTAGAGGGAAAAAATAGTAAATGAAATTAAAGGCAGGAAATGAAATCTCTGCCCACCGACTCTCAAAATATCTTAGCATTGGGTCATACCCAAGATCGTGTTCTTGACGATGCGTGACTGGCCCACTCCCCTTATTTCCAACACCATCTTCCTTTTTCTGCATTTTGGGGAGGGCTTCTTGTAAATATTGTATGAAAAACTCCAGTTGTCTGTATAGTTAATATATAGCTGCTTATGTGTAAATGCTATTTTAAACTCTAAAAAAAGCTTTTACTTTTATGTGACAAATGCACTTTGTGATTTTTCTTCATTGGTGGTGGCAACCTTTTATTCCGAGATATTATATATATATATTTCTGTTGTCTCTGTCTTTTATTGGTTTGTTCCATGATCGGCATGCAATTTCTACCTGCTGTTTTCCCTGGTAAGACTGTCTTTATCTCTTCAAATCTCCACCCACTCTCAGGACATAGCAAATACTATGTGCACTTCAACTGTCTTAGTGTTTCAGAAATATTAGAATGGAATGGATTGGTACTCAAAGTGTCCATAATACACCAACATACAGATATATCACAGGGCTGTAGAGCTGGGGTGTTCAACTTTTTAAGATTTGTGGACTTGGTGGCTGAGGAATTGGCTGTCACTGAGAACAAAAGTTTGCTAATGCACTTCTGAGTTGATTTGCCTTCACTGAGTTTTTAACTGGACCTACAAATCCTGGATCTTTGCCTCTCATAACTGGCTTGTATTGGCTTTGTTCTTACCTCCCACAGTTGTGAAGCTCTGGCAGAGTCTGGCTGGACAGCTTGGTAGTGCCAATTCTGAATGGGAACAGCCCACCCAAGACGTAGTCTCCAGGCCTTCTAAACTGGGAAGACAAGCAGGGCTACGGCACCATTGAAAGCAAACCCGACCACTAACAAATATCATTTTCTTGTGCTGCATTGAAAAGCAGCTTTTGAGTGAGCAGCAATTTACAACTAGAAGCTAAACTAGAATGCTAAAACGCATTGTGAATTGCAAGGAGGGACCGTCCAAAGAGAATTTGTTTAGCAAAATGTCACACCCCCAAAGGCGGGGAGGAAGCTCTGACTGACCCACATGGTGATGCAGTGTTCTGCACTGAACTGCTTGGCAAACTATGTTGCAGATTTCGTGTTTGAATACAAAGCCTAGAGGTGATCCCCAAAGGCAAAGATACGGATTCTCCGCAGGTAAGACTGTGGGGCAAATATCAGGGTCCCCCAAAATTTGTGACTTGGTACAGCAATATATACTGTGATGTCAAGCATTCCTCATATGATGAAACTCAACTGTCTGAAATGCTTGAATTATTTCCAAACTCATATTTTGCACCGCTGGAACATTCTGTTCGCTTTGTCCAAGTCCCTCCATCTCCTCCAGCCCCACAATATGAGGCTTGTCCAGGCCTATGCTCAGGTGTACTGCTTGGAATGGGACGGGACGGTCTGCTCTGCTCATATTCTAAAAGGCTAGGAGGATCATGGGATGTGGGGTGAAGATGAAGGACCTTCCTGTCTCTAATTGGTTTTCCTGCCCCCTTCCAGCTGTCAGAACTTCAGAAAAAGAACGCCTCTGCTTCAAGCTGCAGTAGAGATGTTTATTTCAGACTGAACAATGCAAGCGGTAAGGACCAGAGTTGTTGCAGAATACATCCAGGCTCTGAGGGCACCCCAAACAAAGCACTTGTAATTTAAACAGACTGGAGGTAGAAAATACAAAAATATACCTTAAATACATCGATACCAAGAAAGAAAGAACAACAGAGAATCCTCCCAATGGACTGTGACAAAAAATATCCCACTTTGAAAACACACACATAAACAAACATAGTCGGATTGTCTTAATATCAGAGGTACAGCGACAGCCTTAATTACAGTGTTTTGTAATGTCTTGGTGTGAGAGAGGCAGGGTCCTCCCCCCCACTTCCCTTTGAAAAAAACAAATTGCAGGCAGAGATTCAAATCGTAATCTGGAGGGGAAGGGCTGCTCCAATTGTTAGGGGTGAGTCTTAAGCTCAGACTCACTTTTACAACAGAACGAAGCGGCAGCAGAGTCTTAAAGTCTAAAAGTGGTACGGTTGCAAATGAAGGAATGCTGGCTTTAAATACTGTCCCGGCTTTAAAAGGAGAGTGTGTGATTTCCTCCAAAGCAGAAGTGTAGCTTATCAGTTTGCACCCCAGCCTCCTCCTCGATTATGCTAGCTGTCTAAAGTTGCAAGTATTAACAGTAAGTTCTGAGTTTGGTTACCAGATCTATAAGGAAATGAAATTTTCAAGTCACCGGTGGTTTCCTGTTTTGTTTTCTTTTTGGCCCACGACACAAAGTCTGTCTTTTCGTCGCTCGGCGTAGCCGTGCGCTGCTTGAACAGCATCATTTTTTTGTTGTGCAGAACAGAGCACTTCCAATAGTTTAGCTGTCAAGGAAAGAGGTGAAGCCCTAGAGGAGTTGATTGTCTTGTCTGGTGGAAGCCTCTTTCAAGGCCAAGCCAATGGCCTTGCGTAGGAGGCTGTGAAAGTGCAGCCCTAAAGACTTAAGTGCACTGCCAAGGCAGAGGGAGAAAGGTTAGGGGAGAACCTTAGTTGTGAGAAGAAGTGTCAGGAGACAACCAGAAAGGAAAGATGATAATGAAAGCAGAAAAGGCATTTCTGATGCACACGGTGGGAATCGATGGATTGTCTTAATGGCTATTTTTTTTCTTCCTGTCCCAAAGATTGCACGCTTTCCAGCTGCTGAGCGAGGATGCAACTGTCAAGTAACCAGCACATGGGATAATCACCAGGATCCCTTTCCACACGGCCAAATCTATCCTAGACAAAGAGTCATAAACTGAAGGGAGAGGTTAGCTAAGCTTCCAGAGATTGTTCACAGGGCTTTGGGGCACCTCGTCCTCTGGGGGATTTGGCAGGAGGATCAGCAGTGAGATTCTGTGGGGCATTTCTCAAGCACGCTTCTGTTCTTAAAACCGCTTTCAGGATGGCCTTCCAGATGCCGAACTACAACTCCCCGCACCCTTTCCATCCCTGAGATGGGAGAAGGGTGCCAAGAGATAAGGCTCAGACTTTCTCTATTAGCTGGATACAAACCTTTATCAAAGGCACCGCCTTTCCTGGGGTGGAATGCTTGATTGTGGGCGGGAGGAACGCCTCAGCCAAGGTGAACTGTTCAGATCGCCTGTCTCCTTCCACCTAAGTAAATCCACCCTATGTTCACCTGCACTTAAAACCCTTTTCATGCGTAGTTGGGTTGGGATGAAGCGGCACTTTCATGAAGCAATCCCTGGCGTTGATCGATTGGTTGACAGAACAGAAAGGAAAACCTTGCCATGGCTCCAGGTTGTCCCTCATGCTGGAATTGGCTGTAATGGTGGGCTGCAGGAGGAGGCAAAGAAAAGGAAAGGAAAAAAAGAAAGAAAGAAAGAAAAGGAAGGAAGGAAGGAAGGAAGGAATGAAGGAAGATCAGGGACTGGATGCATTTCTGGATCAAAGCTTCTGGAAGGAGGAAAAGGGCCAGAAGGAGAGCTTTCTGATTGGGGAAACGGCATAAAGGCTTTTTTTATCTTCAGGGCCAGAAACCCAAACAGGGATGGCTTGAAGGCCTTGGAGCGTTCCAAGAAGAAACTTGGTTGAGCAGAGCAGGAGATTATTTCGAGGACGCCTGGGCTGCAGCCGCAGGAAGAGCTGCCGCTCTTGGGCCGTCCCCCGGCCCCTCAGGGCAGGTCGAGGAGCTTGTGCTCTGCGTAGAGGTTTTCCGTGATATCGTAGACCCTGCTGATGCTGGGCAGAGCCTCGCCCAGCATCTCAATTGCCTCCTCGGTGGTGCCCACCTTCATGTTCTCCAGGAAGGCGTCCCGGGTGGGCAAGGCGTAGAAGGCCATGGTGGCTGCCTTGCGGATGATCCAGGGGTGGTAGTTAGCCAGGGAGGCATTGTAGGAATCTGTGCACAGCGCTGACGTCTTGGAACGTGGGCTGCTAGTCCTCAGGCCCTCCAGAAACAGGTGCAGCCAGCGCAAGGCCCGGTGGAGGCGAAGGATAGTTCGGCAGCCTGAGGCAGGGTAAGCGCCGGGCTCCCTCAGGTCCACCAGCCCGTTGGCCAGCTCGTACTTCACCATGGCCTGGAGGGTGATGTAGTCCTCCTGTTGCTCGCTGCTGCGGAAGTTCTCCATGATCTGGATTTTGGTCACCGCGTCTTTGGAAATGAAGGAGAAGATCGGCCCCATCGTGTTTAGAAACCTCCACGGAGAGAAAAAAACAAAGATGTCGTCAGGATCAAGTAATGGGAATTGACGTCCCCTTCCAGATTTTGTCAACACCTACTGGACATAGCGGCGTAGTGGGTAGAATGCAGTATTGCAGGCTAACTCTGCCCACAGCCTGGAATTCGATCCCGACGGGGCTCAGTCTTCTATCCTTCCGAGGTTGGTAAAATGAGGACCCAGATACAGAACGATAGGTACAGATACAGAATAACAGAGTGGGAAATGACCTTCTGGTCCAACTGCCTGCTCAAGCAGAAGACGCTGTATACCACTTTGTTTGGGGGGGGGGGGCTATATGCAAATAATGCCTACATTGTAAACCGTCCAGAGAGTGCTGAAAAGCGCTATGGGGTGGTATGTAAGCCTAAAATGCTATTGCTATTGGCTGGGCTGGTGGGAATTGGGGGGACCAGGGTCTCCGAGCCCACCAAATCTTTCTTCTGCCTACACGGGAACGAGACATGCAATAAAATCTCAACACACTAACTAGGGTTGGAAAGGGTTTTTTCTGTTATTTACGTCTTTTATGTAATTGCATCAATTATCCAGGCAGCTTTGGAAACAAGTGAACATCTTGTTTAAGGGGAAACTTACTGACAATGAGGACAATCAACCAGTGGAACAGCTTGCCACCAGAAATCATGGGTGCTCCCATCACTGGGAGTTTTTAAAAAGAGACTGGACAATCACCTGTCTGAGATGGTGTAGGTTCCCCTGCTTGAGCAGGGGGCTGGACTAGAAGACCTCCAAGGTCCCTTCCAGCTCCATTCCCTATTCTATTCTATTCTATTCTATTCTATTCTATTCTATTCTATTCTATTCTATTCTATTCTATTCTACTCTATTCTATTCTACTCTATTCTATTCTATTCTATTCTATTTCCATATCTATTATTTTCTATTCTATTCCATTTCCATATCCTATCCTATCCTATCCTATCCTATCCTGTCCTGTCCTATCCTATCCTATTCTATTCTATTCTACTCTACTCTATTCTATTCTATTTCCATATCTATTATTTTCTATTCTATTCCATTTCCATATCCTATCCTATCCTATCCTATCCTATTCTATTCTATTCTATTCTATTCTATTCTACTCTATTCTATTCTACTCTACTCTATTCTATTTCCATATCTATTATTTTCTATTCTATTCCATTTCCATATCCTATCCTATCCTATTCTATTCTCTTCTATTCTTCTATATTCTATTCTATTCATCTCTCATGGGGTGAGGTCTGAACTAAAAAGTTGTCAGATAAGCTGACGGTTTGACAGTACAGAGCATGACAGAATGATGAGTCGCTAACTTTAATTTCCCATCTCCTTTTAAAACTGAAGATTACAGAATCCAAAGCTGAGGTTTGAACCCATTTTGAATTGGGTCAGCGGCGGTTTTGTTCACCTGACCTGCTTCTTTCTGGCTAATTCAGCTATGGTTTCCTCAAATGACATTCTTTCCAGGGTATATTTAGCCTCTAATACAGAAAACAGCCTCATTTTTCTCACCGGCTTCTCTAATGTATTCTGATCCCACAATTCTGTTTTTCTCCCCAGCTTGAGAACGGGCTGGGCCTTCTGAGCCCAGGTCAAAAGCATGGGACACAGCTCACCTGACGAGTCCTTTCCAGCCTCCTAAATACGGGTCCATGAGGATTTCTCCCTTGCTGTTCAGACACCTCTGGAAGGTGACCAGCACCCCTTTCAAGCCATGAACGTCCTCGCCGTCGGCCATGGTGAAGCGTGGCAAGCGGAGGAAACTCCAGGCAGATGGGAAAGCGCCTCGGAGGGGGAACCTCCAGGTGAGAAGATCTTTCTGCGATTGATCGTAATGGTCTAGAAAGAGAACTCCTGGCACTCGGTGAGAATGAAACAAGATTCTGAAGCGTCACCCCGAGTGACGGGCGTGGTGACGGGAGGGTGATCCAGGCTGTCAAATCAGCCTACTTTAGGGCAGAGTGACCCCCTTCCAGTTTAAAAGGATGTGTTTGTTTTTGGGGGGGAGTGGGTGGGGGGAGGGCAGGAGTGGAATTACCCATCAGTGTTTAGCAGGTTGAGCCGGTCTAGCTTGTTTCCCCCCCCCCACCCCCCACCCCGTTACAATGACTTCAGACTCCAAAGAATTGCTTGAAAAAGCAATCCTGCCTTGGTACAGGTAGTCCTTGACTGACATGCACAACTAAGCCCCAAATTGCCGTGGCTAAGCAAGGCAGCTGTTAAGCCAGTTGCCCGCCGTTTGGTGACGCGAATCCCTGCAGTTGTTCATTCAGTGGCACGGTTGTTAAGTGAATCTGGCTCCCCCCCTCCCCTTGGCTCTCCTCGTCAGAAAGGTCGCAAAAGGGGGTCGATCACGCGACCGCCGGCACACTTGAAACGGTCCATAAATAATGAGTTCGGTGGCCAGGCGTCCGGATTCTGATTATGTGACCGAGAGGCTGCGACGGTCGTAAGTGTGGGAAACGGTCCTAAGTGGCTTTTTCCAGCTTTGAACGGCCGCGAAACGAACGGTTGTAAGTCCAGAACCGGCTGTCGTACGAACCAGTGCTTTCTCCCCGAGACGGAGTCCTCATGCAGTTAACAGATATATTAGTTGGTTTTAGTCCTGGTCAGCTTGGAGGTCAGATCCAAGCGACTGGGTTAAACCTTAACCCCTCCCTCTGCCCCCCAGTTAGCCCATATTAAGACCCGTGGGGTCCCAAAGCCAACGGCCCCCTCGTCCAGCTGACCCATGAACTCCGCAGGACGAATCCAGCCAGACGGGATTTTCCACCCGCCTTCGGTCCATTTCCGATTAATGTTTAACAGGAAACTAGAATTCCCAGGTCAAATTGCACCCGGCATCCTGGCGCTGCTCTTGAATAACCAGCGGAGCATCGGAAGCCAGTTAACAAAACCCCTTTGGTGCTGGCTAAGCGGGGCCCAAAGTCCCAAAATGCCAAATTTATTCCTAGGAAAAGCGTGCCAAGAACTCAGCATCCCGGCTTGTTTTGAATCCAGAACTTTGTCTAGGGTTGAGGGATGGGACAGAATGATGCTTATGGTTATTGTTGTTATTATTAACCCTCTTGTGGTCACTAGACCTCCCCGGTGGGCGCATGCGTGGCTGCAGAAGCCCCCCCACTCTCTAGGTCTCCCCCACTCCCACGGTTTAGCCCCGCCCAGCCCTGCAAGGGGAGGGGCTTCTCCTCCTCCTCCTCCCTTCCCAGGGGGCTTCCCTCCCCTCCCCAGCCCGGCGCTTCACTCACCTTGGCAACCCTTTCGTCCTTCCCCGCTTCAGCCAGCCCCTTCCTCAGATCCGCCAATAGGAGCTCTCCTCGGGTGCGTGCGGCCCGCCTCCTGCTCCCGCTAAGCCAATCGGCTCCCCGCTGGCCGGCTTTTGTAGCTGCCGGCCAATGAGGGCTCAGAAGCTGCTGGGACGCTCGCGCTTCCGGGAACGCGGGTCTGCGGTACGCATGCGTAACGCTCAGCGGGCTCCCTCGGCTCCTTTTCTAGAAATAATAATGCAAAATTAGACTCGCCTCTCCTTGGAGTCGCCTGACTTCAGTTTTATGATTCCCGTTTTAGGGCAGAGTCGTCTGATTTAACTGGAGAGAGGCCGAGTGAGGCCATCTCTTTGCTGCAGAGGCGCTTTTTTTTTCTCTTCCGTACCCGGAAGAAAAGGATCTGTGCGGCAATCTACCCTTTTCCTGTATCTATACCAAGGAGGCGGTGTTGCGCACGCGCGCCACTCCGCGGGCGTTGCGTACGATGGGCTTGGGAGTCAGGCGAGTAGCGAAGGGTGGTTGGTTGCAGGCGGAGAAGCGACGGCTCGCCACCTTTCCAGGTTGGACTACAGTTCCCAGCCTCCCCAGGCCGCCTGGGGAGGTGTGTTAAACAATGGGGGTCCACCTCTGTCGGACTTGTGTCTGCGTGCATGGGCATGCAACACTGGGGGCGATGGGAACTGTAGTCCAGACCTGGCCCACGGGTACTGGCCTCTGGCCTTTGCAGTAACTTATTCCAAAGAATAAAGATTTTTCTCCTTGCTTGAATGGCTCAGCACCATCTTTTGCTTCTCTCTAGGAAACTTTGGTCGTGCTCGCTGGTAATGCCGAGACGGTGATCGCTGCAGAGCCTTGCGGAGCCGCTTTCCTTCCGGGATGCCTGAAATAAAAGTCACCCCCCTGGGTAATAATTTCCTTTTGGGGTCAGGAAAAATGGGAACTCTGCCCTAAGAGAGTCTCCTTCCAAAGTTTGGGAAAACCTGACATCACAAATCACTACACCCTACTTTGGGCAGGGTGGAGAATTGGCAACGCTTAAGTTAAGCACCGTGGAAAGGCTGGTTAGAGAAGGTTGCTTTGGATCAGTGGATTAAATAACACGGTGGCTTGTTTGAATCCCTGGCTCTGGATTGGCCCAAACACATTTCTGTCATGTATTTCAAGGTACTGAAGCTAGAACAGTGGTTCTCAATCTGTGGGTTGGGACCCCATTTGGGGTCGAACGACCATTTCATGGGGGTCGCCAAACAAGGCTGTCCGCCATTTTTTCCCCCTTTGGCCACGCCCCTGGCACCCGGTGATGTATAAGTGGTTGGGGGTCACCACAACATGGGGGACTGTATTATGGGGTCGCGGCATTAGAAAGGTTGAGAACCACTGGGCTAGAGCATCCTTTTTGGAAGCTTGATAGGCAGTACAGGTTGAATTTAAAAAAAAAAAAAAGTGAAGGGATCTATCAGTTTTTCTGCTTGCCTGTGGAATTCCTGGTTTGCCTAGGGTAACCAGCATTAAATGCAAATGTGACAGGCACCAGAGAGAGTATCAATCAAAGCTTGCATTTTTAATTAATTCACTTGTCTATTCTCTCCCTCCCCTTTGCTTTTTCAGGAGCTGGCCAAGATGTGGGTCGCAGCTGCATCCTTGTGTCCATTGCAGGGAAGAACGTCATGCTGGATTGCGGGATGCACATGGGATTCAATGATGATGTAAGAGGGATTGTGCATGGCGTGGTACACTAATTGAACTGGCTGGAGGTTACTCCAAAATCTCCATGGGAGATGCAGTTTGGAGCATAGAAAGGCTGGGCTTCATCTCCTGTGGACTTCAGCCATCTAAGTAAAAGGCTGTGGGATGGCTTTTGTAGTCCCTCTAGATCAGTGTTTCTCAACCTTGACCATTTTTAAGGCATGTGGACTTCAACTCCCAGAATTCCACAGCCAGCATTGCTGGCTGTGGAATTCTGGGAGTTGAAGTCCACATGCCTTAAAATGGTCAAGGTTGAGAAACACTGCTCTAGATCTATACTTTGAAGTTTCTCCCCCTAAAATTTGTGGGATGGCCAGAATTTCCTCCCAGGCTACTTTCTGAATGGCGGTTTCCCTGTCAAAATAATGGGATCCTCTTCCAAGTCCTCTTGGGTTTTGGGTGCTCAAGGCTAGCAGCCTCCCCGTGGCCTGCTGTGTGTGTTTCATCTTGTGGCTCTGAGTTCTCGTCCTCCTGCATCTCTGCCTCAAAATGGTCAAGGCACCCTGAGATCTGTGACTAGCTAGGTGGAAAGCAGAGAGCCAGAAGGGGGGGAAAAAACCCAGACATGCTATCATCCTTTGTGTCTTACAGAGGCGGTTTCCTGATTTTTCCTACATCACTCAGAACGGAAGGCTGACTGACTTCCTCGACTGTGTCATCATTAGGTGAGGGCATCCCTCTTTATGTTTTAGCAGAAAAAAAAACTAGCACCCTTTACTACCTGTGAGCTGGCTTGACCTGTGCTGCCTGAGATGTAGAACAAGTTTAACTGCAATTAACTAACTAATTTTCAATTAGGGAAACCGTCTCTGCTGAAGGTCTGTTAGTTTTAATGCTATTGTATTTTATTTAGAAAACCAATTCTAACGCTCGTTTCATTTGATAAAAACTAAAGTGGAGTTGAACTGAAATTGAAACCCCCTGACTGAGTCCTTTTTAAAGCCCATCTTGGATTTGTGTCCTTCCCAGCCACTTCCATTTGGATCACTGTGGGGCCCTCCCTTACTTCAGCGAGATGGTCGGCTACGATGGGCCCATTTACATGACCCACCCAACGAAAGCCATTTGCCCCATTCTCCTGGAAGATTTCCGGAAAATCACCGTGGACAAGAAAGGGGAGACCAATTTCTTCACGTCCCAGATGATCAAGGACTGCATGAAGAAAGTGGTGGCTGTCCACCTTCACCAGACTGTGCAGGTAGGGAGAGGGGAGCTCAGATTTCCAGAACATTCCTCAGTGGAGGGGTTTTTGCCCAAGTTGGGAAAGTATCTGGATACACCGCCCTCTCTGCATATTGAACAAAGATAAAAGTCATATTTGTAACTGCATTTACTCTGGGATCTGTACTCATCCAAGTTGGGATCTACTCTACCTTAGATCTGGTTAGACCAGCGTTTCTCAACGTTTGTGTGACGGCAACCCCCGTCACACAAACGTTATGCGCATGCGCGGCGCGGCGTGCATGCGCGGCGCCCCCGTGCACGCCGCACATGCACGGCGGTGCCCCCATGCGCAGTGTGCATGCGCGGCGGCGCCCCCATGCGCAGTGTGCATGCGCGGCGGCGCCCCCAGAGGGGACAAAATGGCGGATCGCCGCCTTTGGCGACCCCCGAAAAGTGGTCGATCGACCCCAAATGGGGTCGTGACCCATAGGTTGAGAACCGCTGGGTTAGACCAATGAACCCCCTGGGGTATTTGGTCAAGAAAGACACATCACACCCCATTCTTGGGAGAAGGACCCAAATGTAAGAATAAAAGAGCATTTATTGCATAAATGTATATTGTAAATCCTCATATTTCTAGTTCTGGAGGAACAGGAAGTGACACACTCTGGATCACCAGCATGGCACAAATGACACACTATACAATGTGCACAATTTGGACATGTTTGCGATGCCATGGCTTACCCTGGACACTTACTCAGACAGTGGTGGCAAACTGCCCAGATTTGCTATTGAAAAAACAGCTGGGATGACTCTGTTACCCGGCTCAGTAACTGGTTAGGTCTGGTCAGGTCAGGTCCTGACTGAATTCGGGAGATCCTCAATTGGAAAATCTTGAAAAATGCTGGTTTGTTGTTACTGGTTTTTCAATCTCTTTATAGTCACGTATCCTGTTTTTAGGTGGACAGCGAGTTGGAGATTAAGGCCTATTATGCTGGCCACGTCCTTGGGGCTGCGATGTTCCAGATTAAAGTCGGTTGCGAATCGGTGGTTTATACTGTAAGTGTCCTGGATGAAACTGCCACATCTCTCCACGGTCCCTTTCAACCCAAACTCTGCTTTCTGTGAGGTCCTTGTTGTAAGCTGGAGCTCTGCTTATCTGGGCATGATACCATCATCCCGTCATTCCTGAGTTGAAAGACCAATGAGATTTAATTGTTCAATTGTTCAAACCCTGAGTATTTTAGGAGCTCACTAAAGAACTGCCTCTCCCATTAGAAACATGACTAGAAATGAAGACATGACAAAGGAGTCCCAAGGCTGATCTCTAGCTAACCCAGTGGTTCTCAACCTGTGGGTCGGGACCCCATTTGGGGTCGAACGACCATTTCACGGGGGTGGCCAAACAACGCAGTCCGCCATTTTTTCCCCTTTTCCTTAGCTGTGCTACTCCCTTTTATTCTATTGGCTTTTGAAAGCCAATAGAATAGACTCTCTTGAATAGAGTCTAATTCTATTGGCTTTCAAAAGCCAATAGGAATTGTCCAGGCTGTCTCTGCCCTGCTGAGCCTGCCAAAAGTCCCTGCAAACGACGCTGCACCAGTTGAGTAGTCCTCGACTTACAACCGGTTGGGGGTCGTGGCATTAAAAAGGTTGAGAACCACTGAGCTAACCTGATTTAAAAGCAATCAGATGCAAAGGACGGTAAAGTCTGCCCCGGGTGGACATACCTGGCCATTACAAAGTGATGAGAGTAAATATTGCCCTCCTGCAGCTGTGTAAGGTATTGCAGAAGAAAAAATGGAGGTTACTATGGTGCTGGATTATAAACTTGAATTTTTGAGGAGGCCCCTTATGTTCAGGCACCTACCGAACATATTCTCTCGAGTTGTTTCCTGACTTCCTGCAGTGTTGCATTTGTCTATATTCTTTACAAGATCATTTCAAGCACGCCTCTTTAGTCCAGATTTTTAAATGTTAATCTTTTCTAAACATTTGTTTTAAGTTACTGATTTTTAATCTTTGGTAGTACTGCTGTTTCTGTCTTTGGTGGCTTTGCCGTTTCTACAATGTAAACTTTGATATGAAAAGAAGAGGATGTAAATGGAATTAAAAAAAAAAATACTTTCATTTCCTTCTCTTTATTAGGGTGACTATAACATGACACCAGACAGGCATTTGGGGTAAGCACTTTGGATTCAGTAGGAGGAGTTGATTTGGATAACTGATTTAATTCCACTTATTTTGAATCCAGCTGAAACCTCCAGTGCTTTGTTTTTCAGGGCTGCCTGGATTGACAAATGCCGTCCCAACCTGCTGATCTCTGAGTCCACGTACGCCACCACCATCAGGGACTCCAAACGCTGTAGAGAAAGGGATTTTTTGAAGAAGGTCCACGAGAGCATTGAGCGCGGAGGGAAGGTAGGTGACTTTGGACTGGATCGTTCTAACGACAGAACCATTTATGATGGAAAGGTTCCCCTGTGGGCAGAAGGTGGCATGCCGAGAGATGTTGGGGGGGGTGGTCAGTTTCCCACTTTCCTTGAATCACAGCAATTTGGAGAAAAAAGAGAAACGGAACAGAAAGAGCATCTGATGGGGGGACAAGTCACAAGTCCTTTTGCTGCCTCTCTGCAGTCTGAAGGGCTGGAAGGCTGAGATGTTGCACGCTGGCATAGAGCAGAGCAGACCTAAGCTCTCCCTCTTACCTTGTACCTCCACCACTCTCAGCAGGGATGATGGTGGGCTGCAGTTTCCCAAGCTTGCTCGCTTGCCTTCTCTGCAGGTCCTGATCCCAGTCTTTGCTCTGGGCCGGGCTCAAGAACTCTGCATTTTGCTGGAGACCTTCTGGTAGGCAGCAACCCTTGGTCCTTTGCCTTGAAACCATCGCTCTCTCCCTGCTGAAAGAAAGCCCATGCTGCTGTTTGTAGGAATCTTCACCCCCCCCCCCCAAGCATTGGGATTGGCTTACAGCAGCACTTCGGCAACTTGCAGGCTTGTGGACTTCAACTCCCAGAATTCCCCGTGCTTTAAACCCTCCCCTCCTTTATGCCATTTAAAGCTGAGTTAAGAGAGAAATCCCTTTGCTTGCAATTTCACCACCAGCCCAGAACATGGAATGGGAGTCGGGCCACATAAAGAGAGGAAACGGGGGGGCGGAGTTCTTTCCTTTGCCTCGCCTTGAAGGGCGAGAGTCCCACGCTTTGCCCCTCTTTTCCCACCCAAGGGAGCGCATGAACCTGAAGGCGCCCATCTACTTCTCAACGGGGCTGACGGAGAAGGCAAACCACTACTACAAGCTCTTCATCACGTGGACGAATCAGAAGATCCGGAAAACCTTTGTCCAGCGGAACATGTTTGAGTTCAAGCACATCAAAGCTTTTGAGAGGACCTATGTGGACAACCCTGGGCCCATGGTAGGAGCGCAGAGGGGAGGGGTGGCCCTTACAACCAGTTGGCCGTGGCGGGTTGGTTGCAGCGAGTTGTTCTAGACTCGGGCGGCGGGGCAAGGGAGGAACCATTATGAACCCCCAATTTAATCTTGGGTGGATTGATCTAAGCTCTTTCCTTCACCCACCCACCCCCTCCCCCAGGTTGTGTTTGCTACGCCAGGGATGCTGCATGCGGGCCAGTCACTCCATATCTTCAAGAAATGGGCTGGCAACGAGAAAAACATGGTAGGAGAAAGACGGCAAGTCCGCCATTAAGAAATAAATTGCCCAGAGGTTAACGTTGTCTGCTAAGAGTTGCTTGCATTTTTCATGCCTTCACATCAGAAAGACTAAAAGTGTTATTTGAGCAGCCTGGATGCTTGGGATATTTAAAACCAGGGTGCTTGTTAGATCAGTCCTAAAGACCCCTGAGACCAGCATACTGAAAAGAACACTTCCTTCAGCCTTAGCTGATTGGCAGTAGACTGCTACTGAATATGGGGGTTTCATTCTTCCAATCTAATAAAAGCAGCTAATGGCTACTGAGGGATCACTCTACAATGGTATCATTGTGTGGGGACAGTTGGCTGTTATTTATTTGTATGCTCAAAGTCATCACGGCCTGCTGTAATTTCTTTCTGGGTTTTGTCCACAGGTCATCATGCCCGGGTATTGTGTCCAAGGAACAGTGGGCCACAAAATTTTGGGTGGACAGCGGAAGCTAGAAATGGAAGGAAGACAAATTGTGAGTTGAACCCTCGGAGAAGGCAGGGGGCTGGGGTGCCCCAAACAATTGACTGCTGTTAAAGGATCTCTATTTTTAAAAAAACTGGGACAGTTGTTTATTTTTCAGAAGGAGATGGGTTGCAATCTGTACTTGCTTACTTTACTGTCAGTGAAATATTCGTGGAGTGAAGGAACATGGTAAGGTCCAAAAGTACAATCTAAAATGTAGCTATTTAGCAAGTGGTCTCAGCACAGTTCTGAACTCATACGCTACATGCAGGGGCATTTTTTAAAAAAAATAACAGAAATATTCTAAATTGCACCCCATAAATGAAGGTTGTCATGCCCAACCTCAGGCACTTGACAGAGCTGCCATGCTTTTAATTTTTTTGCCTCCTCTACTCCCCCCACAGCTGGAAGTCAAGATGCAGGTGGAGTACATGTCCTTCAGCGCACACGCCGACGCCAAGGGCATCATGCAGCTCATCCGGCAAGCCGAACCCCGCAACGTCCTCCTGGTCCATGGCGAGGCCAAGAAGATGGAGTTTCTGAAGCAGAAAATCGAGCAGGAATTCCGTACGTTTTGAGCAGGAACGCTGGGAAACTTTGCTGGGCAGCCTTTTGTCCCCTGGGGTTTGCGAGGGCTTCTCGGAACACAGAAAGCTGGAATGGATTTGACGCAGAAGAGGAAGTGGCTCAGAGGGAAGAAGAGGGAACCCAGCTCGGTGTCAGCCAGAGCACAGGCGGGCAGGAGCAAAGGGGCTGGCCGGGTTTGGTTTTGTCTGCTGACTTGGGGCTGGGGATGTCAGTGTTATGGTTCCAGCTAATGAAACATTTCAAAGAACTTCCAGGCATTTATTTTCCTAAAAGTCTTTTATTGTTACAAAATGTCGGCACAGGCACAACGGAGGGATGCTAGAATCTAAGTTCTCTTCCTCTGAGCAGTTCAATTATCGGCATGTTCCCTCCCTAAATTAGCCCTCATATCTCACACTATCCAATTAGTGTGAAGGTCAAAGGTTTCCTTCCTCTTTCTTTCCCGGGCTTTACCCCCAACCCCCCCCTTCTGCTCTTTATTAACCCCATATTTACCAGACAATTCTGCATATTGTCAAAAGCAAGAACATACAATATTTGCAGTGTTGACAGCCAGCTGCAGTGGCAGACTTTAGGATCTGCAGCAGTTGCTAGCCATAGAGACTGGCAGAGATTCACCAGGACTTTAGGATCTTCTAGTCCTCACTGGGATTAGACCAGAAGCCTCAACAGAGCTAACCAAGACCTCGCTTTTCGTTGCTTGCAGGGGTCCAGTGCCACATGCCTGCCAATGGGGAAACGGTGTCCATTTTCACCAATCCTAACATCCCGGTGGATATTTCTCTCGGGCTACTGAAGAGAGAGCTGGCCATTGGTAGGTTTCACAGGACAAAACCCTCATTAATACCCTATGGGGACGGAACCGGTCATTGGCTGCATTTACGCTGTTGCTCAGGCCAAAAGGCTCCATTTTTCTTTCTCTTTTTCTCTCTAGGACCCTCGCCGGCCTCCAAGAAGCCGAAGCTGTTGCACGGCACCCTGATCATCAAGGATAACGTGAGTGTGGGGGAAAGGGAATCCGGGCAGCTCCCTAAGGCGGGAAGCCATTTGCCTTTCAGGGGAAGGGAGGAAGGACAGCCCTGCCTCTGAGGACGTTAAGCCCGAGCAAGGAAGGCTTTAAAAGGACACGGCTTAAAGAGTTTATTTGGAGGCCCACAGTCTTCCTTTCGGGTCGATACCTTATCCCAGTGGTTCTCCACCTGTGGGTCGGGACCCCATTTGGGGTCGAACGACCATTTCACGGGGGTCGCCAAACAACGCAGTCTGCCATTTTTTCCCCCCCTTTTCCTTAGCTGTGCTACTCCCTTTTATTCTATTGGCTTTGGAAAGCCAATAGAATAGACTCTCTTGAATAGAGTCTAATTCTATTGGCTTTCAAAAGCCAATAGGAATTGTCCAGGCTGTCTCTGCCCTGCTGAGCCCGCCAAAAGTCCCCTTCTGCAAACGGTGCTGCGCCAGTTGAGTAGTCCTCGACTTACGACCGGTTGAGTAGTCCTCGACTTACGACCGGTTGGGGGTCGCGGCATTAAAAAGGTTGAGAATCACTGCATTATGCCAAAACTGGGGGGGGGACCAGCAGTGTCGGACTGGATCTCCTGCCCAGCGAGCTCAGAGCGAATCCTCACGCAGCGCAGATGGTTTCCTCCCTCTCCCGCGGGGTGCGAGATTTCCTGCCACGCCGCCTCTGCTGCTGCCGTGCAGGAATTGCAAAGGTTTCTCCTTTGCTCCTGGACAGAGTTTCCGCTTGGTTTCTTCCGAGCAAGCCCTGAAGGAATTGGGGCTGGGGGAGCACCAGCTGCGCTTCACCTGCCGGATCCACTTCCAAGACCCCCGCAAGGAACACGAGACCGGCCTGCGTGTTTACAACCACCTGAAAAGGTGAGCGCTCAGGGTAGAGCCTGCCCAGGGGCAGGATTGGCGGGAGCTGCTGGGGATTCCAGGCAATCTGCCCCACCTCGAGGACTAGAAATTTGCTTCGGTTGGACAGAGAAAACTCACATTGACAGGAATCCCCACTGAAACCTGCTTCAGTATCATGTCGCGTTAAATGTACTTAGAAATAGAAAAGAAACGGGGTTTAATTGGAGCAGTTATCTTGGGCATTGTCTGGGAAGAGAAGCTCCTCCCAGAACTGATTGCCACAGAAGTTTGTGAGAAGCACAGACGCTCTCTGGGGTCCTGTGAAAAGGCTGGGAGGGATCCAGCTTGGTGGTGTTTTCTCCCCCCCCCCACCCCCCGCCCCCTGCAGCGCCTTGAAGGATTATTCCGTCCAGCATCTCTCAGACGCCTCCATCATGGTGGAGTCCATCTTGATCCAGGTTACGGTCCAGTCTGAAGATCCCACCACCAAACTTCTGCTGGTCTCCTGGACGTACCAGGTGAGGCTTTAAATCTGATTTTATGAGAGGAGACACTAGTCGTAAAGTCGAGGACCACCTGTATTGAATCTGGGCTCCGCGTGCAGGATGAAGAAATGGGGAGCTACGTCACCTCTCTGCTGAAAAAGGCCCTGCCTCAGATCACAGGGTGAACCCCTGGGTGCCTCCAGCTGCTGCCGCCACAGACTTTTAGCTGCAGAGAGCGGCAGGTTTGCACAAGAGTGGGCAGAAGAGAAAAATCCATGTTTGTTTTAGTCATTTTGGAGGGTCTGGGATGAAGCCGATCAGGTGAGCTGAGTCCTCTCCTCCTTTTCTGTTCTGCGCGTCTCATCCATCCTCCCGGCACCTTTTCTTCCCTCAGCCATGAACAACATCCTTCTATGCAGTATAACCCCCCCCCCGCCCTCCAAAATCCCACCTCATCTTCCCTTCTGTCTGCCTCCTCACCTGTCAACACCCTTGGTCCCCCCCCCTCTTTTTTTTTTTTTGGGTCCCACCTGCTTCTGCCCAAACAAAACAGCCTCGTTTTGCGTGCAGGGCGATTCCTGCCCCAACCATGCGACGTACCCCTAAAAAGAGCAGTGTAAATACTTGTGTTCCATCTCTCTCTGTTTTAATAAAAATGTTTACTTTCGGTATGATTGGTTTTCTTGGTCACAGATGGCCTGCTTCCAGCTGCCAGGCGTCTTGTGTGAAAACGCCCTGGCCCAGGGTTAGAAAGACCCTGGCACAAAGCCGCACCAGGCATCGTGACCAAGGAATGAGGAGGCAGACACTTCCCTTCTCTTGAAATCTTCTGCAGTCTCAGTAGCAACTCTGTTTACAGGGCTACGGGCATCTCGATGTCTTAAAACCAAACAAACCCCAGTTGCTGTTCAGCTCAGGGAAGGTTGCAAGAGAAACGTATCTGCGTCCTTGTTTCTCTGACCCAGGCAAAAACCAACCAACCTCCCCCCCCCACACCCTCCCCCAGCTTCATTTAAACACTCTCTTTGCTTTCTGAAAATTGGACCGACAATTTTAAGCACAACTGCCGCAACACAAAGGAACAAGGGAACTGCCCCTCCCAGCCAAAGTCCATGCTCTTATTTCCACGGAGCTGGAAAGCCAAACAGGAGTCCCTCTCCAAAGCCTAAACTGACGCATGAAGTTAACCTTTTTGCCAAACAGCGCCCCCTGAAAGCCCAGCTAACTTTCTTGGAGGCATCATCAGCACCGCGTCACTGGCAGCCGGGCTGCCCCATCGCCCGCTCCTTAATGCCGCTCTCTGGTCGGCGCATCCTCTGCGGTCCTCGTTGACGGCGTAGACTTTGGAGGCTCGTTTTTGCCACCGGAGCTTCCAGGGGCACCGCTTGCCGGCCAAGGTGTGGTAATACAAGACAGGGTTCAGGCAGCAATTGAAGCTAACCAGGGCTAAGGTGATCCGGCGGAGCTGGTAGATGGAGGCGGCCAAGTGGCAGTTCTGGATGAGGCCGACTCGCATCAGGAGGTGGAGGAGGTGGGTGAGGTGGAAGGGAAGGAAGCAGCACACGCAGATGAAGAGGATGAGGTAGATGGTGTTCAGGGCCTTCCTTTTGAAAGCGCTCTCGGCAATGTGTGAAATCCGCCGGGCGATCAGAGGGTAGCTGATCAAGATCACCACAAAGGGGATCAGAAACCCGAAAACCAACACGCAGATGTTATACGGCAGCATGCGCCCCTTCCAGGAGGCTTCCCCAAAGCTCTCGAAGCAGACCTGGGCACTGCTGACGTTGGCGTCGAGGCGCCCTCCCAGGATCAGCGAGCCGGCGATGCTCAGCCCGGTCACCCAGAGGAGGACGGCGATCAGGGTGTAGTGGGCGCTCTTGATCCTGATGTACGCCAAGGGGTGCAGGACGGCCAGGTAGCGGTCGACGCAGATGGAGGTGAAGAAGGCCACGCTGAGGTAGATGTTGAGGAAGTACATGCAGCCCGTGATGCGGCAGGCCACGTCCCCGAAGACCCAGTTGTTGTGGTGAAGATGGTAGTGGATCTTGAACGGCAGGATGCAGACGACCAAGGTGTCCACCACGGCCAGGTTGAGCAGGTAGACGTAGGAGCGCGGGGGGTGCGAGACCCGACAGGTCAGCAGGTAGAGGGCGGCCCCGTTTTCCAGCAAGCCCAGCACGAAGACAGGAATGTAGATGGCAGAGAAGAGGACATACTGGAAGTCGGCCCGAAGGCTGCACTCCTCGCTGGCGTTGGCCACCGTCCGATTTTCCATCTTCTCTGGAGCAGGATCCCTTCCCTGGCCTGGCCTGCTGCAGGAAGCCTCTTAGTCCATCATCCTGGGAGCGAAGGCAGCCAGCGAGCTCGTCTCTGCAGCCGTCCACCTCAAATCAGCTTAGAGAAACAAGGATCCCATCCAAGGAAACCACAGGCACCGGTAAGGCTTGGAAAACTTGAAAAGAAATTTGAAAAGTGAAACCTGCAACTGGAATTAGCTACCCAGGTTTTGGTGGAGTGGGCCAACCAGGGCTTAGCCAAAGTGCTGGAAGGCTACCTGGCCTAACCCAAGGCCCCTCTGTATGTATTGGACTGGGGCACCCATCGTTCCCAGCCACGGTAGGCTGAAGAAAGCCGGAATCACACCAGTTTGCCACTTGCATAGAAGGGAGAAGTTCCTAGCAAGTTTGGGCAAAGTTTCCAGGACTGTGCATTTTCATCACCCTAAATATAACATGGAAAACTTACCCGTTTGCATCTGTCTTTAGCCGCTCTGTTAGTCTTTGAAGACAACTGAGCTTATTTTTATTTCCTTTTGACTTTTAGAATGTTTCCTCCCCTTGCTCCCCCCACGTCAGGGCCTCCTACACACCTTTTGTGCAGGAAGCAGGGGAGAGGGGCTCTGCTGCTGTGGTTTGCAAACTGCAACCGAGGCAGCAAGAAATATACAGCTCAGTGTTAGATGGTGGCATTTTCCCCCAAGATTTTAGAGCAGGGGAGCAAAGCTGATGGTCCAGAGTTTATAATCCTGATCGTGCAAACCCCCGCCTCCAGTAAGGGTGGAGGGAGGCATGAAAAGACAGCAGAGTAATAAGAGAATAAATGATCTTGTTTGTCAAGTGTTTTAACGTAAAAGCGGGATCAAATCTCTAATATTCTGCTAAGACAAACCATTTTGAAAGTGAATCTTAAAAAGTGTTTTGCAAACTCTTAACCCAACGGGTTTGTGGCACAGGCGAAAGCTGGCAAAGGGTTGCAGTTGGCTGGTGGTTGTGGGGAAAACGGCAGTAGTTCCTTAATTTATCACTAGGGACTGGAAACTTACAATTCAGTTGAGAATCTCAAGATGGCACTTGACCTGGTGAACTGACTAGATGAATTAACGGCAGAACCCTTAAAAGAGGCGGTGCACACGCAAACGGGCATGGAGAACACGGAGGTAGCCTAAGGACTGGAATATCCTGTCATTCTCCCAGATTGTAGAAAGCTAGTGCTAAAAACGCTCATTAACAACTGCCATGTGTCTCACACGATAGTAAGGCAATTACTCAAGAATCTGCAGTCCAGATGTTAAGATCAAATTGCTGATCCCTGATGGGTAACTGAAAAGGTGAAGGAGGATATAAAACGGATTTATTTTTTGCTTTACTGAGCACGCACACATTTTTGACTATGTGGACCACAACACAGCAGAAACAGCCCTTAAAAGCACGGAGGTTTCCAACAGGCCCCCTCGTCTGCTTATCAGAGAATGTCTTAAGAGGGGCCAGGAAGCAACTTAATCCAAACTCATTAGTCCATCTCTTTCTTAGCCACCCTGAGAAGGAATCATTTTATAATAATGATAAAGTTGGAAGGGACCTTGGAGGTCATCTAGTCCAACCCCCTGCTCAGGCAGGAAACCCTATACCATTTCGGACAAATGGCTGTCCAGTCTCTTCTTTAAAACTTCCAGTGTTGGCGCATTCACCGCTTCTGGAGGCAGGTTGTTCCACTGGTTAATTGTTCTAACTGTCAGGAAGTTTCTCCTTAGTTCTAGGTTGCTTCTCTCCTTGGTTAGTTTCCACCCGTTGCTCCTTGTCCTGCCTTCAGGCGCTTTGGAAAATAGTTTTCTTGGCAGAGGCAGTCGAACTTCAGATTAAGCAAGTTTATTAACAAAATGCCTGCAGAGCATGAGAAAATGAGAATTTTTCTCCCTCCAGCAATGTATATAAACCCTAGGCAGAAATTATAGTCCATTTCAATCTTCTGTCTCCAAATCTGCAAGATAATGAAAGGGGAAAGAAAACAAACTGAGAATTACAGAATATACAACAGCTGTAAGACTGAGCAGTGAATTGGTTTCAACCTCATCTCTGAGACAACTTGAGATAAATCGTGGATGTCAGCCTCAATTCTGCCTCCCGCTCCCCAATTGCAAAACGGAGGAGATAAACCAGGAGGGTCTCCCTGATAGAAAGAGTTGTTCTTGGGAGGACTGCAGTGCAATAAACTTGAGAACAGAAAAATATCAACTGTTAACTGTCAGTCCAGCTGTTTGAGCTGGTTCTTGTATTCATGAGGACTAGAAACCAGACACCAAAAGACATCCTGGATGACCTGTGCTCTGCTTCCATAGCCTTGGAACTGGAGGGAGACCCCCAAATTCAACCCGATGCCTCTGTTTGCTCACCACTTTTGTAGTACTCGACATGCTTGAGGAAGAGTCCGTCTGGGGGCGCCATGGTGTTGTGGGGATAAGCCATCAAGTCTCGGGCTGCTAGGAGTTCCTTGATGTGATGCGGTTGTAACCGGTTCTGACCCACGGCTACCAACGCCCCCACCATTCGCCGCACCTGGAGTGAGAAGGGTTGAAAACACCAAAGTTCCAGAATCCACAACAATTGGGGCAAAATCGAGGAACGGAATCATGGAATTGGAGGGTTGGGTGGGATCCTTCAGAAGCCATCTAGTCTGACCCCCCCCCCGAGAAAGAGCCATCTGTTTGAAAGAGAAGGAGTACCCGCCCGTTTTCTGGGTTATCTCAAATCCAAGGTGTTGTTTTTTTTAAATCTTCAGCCCAAATCTGAATTGGATGCCATTTCTGACAGATGGCAGTCCAGTCTCTTGTTGAAAGCTTCCAGTGATTAAACTCCAATAGGCCATGAGCTGTTTATAGATCATATAAGCCATGGTTTGCTTTTACTGGGGATGTGCAGTTAAAACACAAGTGTCTGGATTCCTCATTTTTTAAGTTTATTTTACAAAGCACCACCATGTGGCCCCAAGCAGATCACATTTTTATTTGGAGCCACTGAAGCGGTGGCTCAGTGGAAGAGACTTAAGCTTGTTTCAGCCGTCATCCAATCCCTCCATTTGGGCCCAGAGCCCCCAAGACGACCTCGGCCTTCCCCGCAGGAGGGTTGTGAAGAAAGAAGGCGCCGAGTGCCCAGTGATCTTTCTTCGACCCGACCGAGGTGGGCTCCGTGGTTTGGGAAAAGCAGCTCTTTCCTTTAGCAAAGGAGGCGAGGCTGCTGCCACCCACCCTCGTGCCGTTTCCACCAGCCACAGGTTGCAAGCGGCACGTGGCCGCCCGCCCGCCCGCCACTGAGGGAGGCAGCCCAGGTCCAGGAGTGTTTTAGCAGCTGCTTTCAGAGCTGTTTTCAAGCAAGCGACAAGACGGTGGGGGAAACGAAACCCCTCAAGGCTTTTTTACTTTTTATTTTTGCAAGCACCGGCTGAAAACAGCCAGCCACCGCCAGGGGAAAAAGCCACCTCCTGTCCTCGTGGCTAACCGACTGTAGGCAGGCTCTTCCGCGAGAGAGCCAGCCTCACCTTCTCCCTTGCCTCTGAGTCATCCTCAGCGTGATTCATTTATTCTATCTAACCAGATGCCGCTAGCTGTGCCAGGGGCCTGCTGAGAGGCATCCATCCGTATTTTCACGGTGGGCTGTTTGCCAGGTGGCCTCACGTGTGCAAAGCTCTCTTGGGCTGGCTGGCTGGCTTGGAAGGACAGGAGTCGAAGCCCAACCCTCCGGATGGCCGTGGAGACGGCTGGCGAGTTAAGAAGGCTCCTGTGGGTGCTCCAGGGACACCCCTGGCAATCTCATTTTAAAGCTGAGAGGCTGCCTCTCAAATCGTAAAAACGTTAATAACTAGGCTTGGGACGAGAGGAAAAACAGTGACAAAAAGCACGCAGGGGCTACCAAACGAGTCTGCCTCGACTAACGCCGCTATTCAAAATGCCTAGTTGGAAAAATGATCCGTACCTGTTTGTACAGGAAAGATCGGCTTACAAATTCCAGTTCCCAAAACTTCAGGTTGCTGGAGGGAAAGAAGAACGGGCAAAAAGGCAGCATTAAAATCCGTATAGGAAGGTGCTAATTATTATTTATTAAACTTCTATGCCCCCCCATCTCCTCTCTAAGACGACTCTTTTTCTGTCCTGCCCTGGAGCGGTCAAGAGGTCTGCTCAGGAACAGATCCGCTGCGGACAATCTGAAAGCAGCAGCACAGAATAATCTGCAATTTAACTCAAAGCCTCTGTAAAACTTGAAAGGGGAGGTTGGATTCAGAAGATCCCAAGTCTTTCTTTCTTTCTTCCATTCATCTGTCAATCTACGGATTGGGATTTATAAGTCAAAATCCGGCAACGGGTAACCGCTTTCCTCTCCAGACGAGACCAGTGAGGGTTTGTTGTTCTGCAGAGCAATGGATTTCCATTCTGTGCTGGGATCCAGTCTCACACCTGCTTCACGAGCGTTTTACTCTCCATGTGGCTGGAGAGTTTTCAGAAAGTAGCTTCTGAAATAATCTGAAGGTCTAGGAACTTGGTTTCTTTTTAAGGCCCACTCTTCCATTATTTCAGCCACAGGCCAAAATGCATATTTTGTAACACAATTCAGAAACGGGGGGGGGGGTCTTCATGTCTCCTGCCTCAGTTTAGCCCCTGGACCTCTTCCCTAGCCATGTTGATTAAAAAAACATGCTCAGAGGCTCCTTTTTCAGACCGACTGCAAGGCCTTCAGCTGCACTGACTGCTAAACCTCGGCTTCAGCCCCTGGGCTGCAACACCAGCAAAACGTTCCCACCCAAATTCACCCACAAGGCTGTTGGGGGTTGATCCGAAAGGGCTAAAAAGACAGGTACAGGGGCAGTCTATCTTGGACCGCCCCTGCTGGTGTTTGGGTTGCCTTACGGCGCAAAGCAGGCATCAGAAGAAATGTCAGTTCGATGATGAATTTTCCCTGCTGACCTTTCTGAGCAAAGGCCGGGCCAGCGTCCGTGGGTGGGGATGCCTCAGCGGATCAATTGTCAGCCTGGATCAGTGTAGGAAAAAAAAAACCCACTTGAAAATTCCGTGGGTTCAAACACGACGACTTTTTTTTCCCTCCCCCGGATCACATGGAAATGCCTCACTCAGCTAGCAGGAGGTCCTTCTCCCACCATCTGGCAGGCTGAAGCAGCCCTGAAGGGGAGCCACAGCCACGTCATAGGCTTCAGATGCGAATTCAAATCCTCCCTCCTCCTCCTCCTCCTCCTCCTCCTCCTGCAATTCAGGTGGCTTTCGGCTTTTGAAATCCAGCCTTTGGGATGGGCAAGATGGCCCCCCCCCTCTGCCAAGGAAGCCCTCTGTTTAAAGTAAGACCTGACTTGACCCTCGCACTCAAAAGTGAGTTACGATTGTGTTGTTTCTGGCTGCGGAAACGAGCTGTACCTTCTTCCTGCAGATAGAAAGCCAGCAAATCGGGAGGAGGCTTCCACTCGCGTTCTTCTTCTTGACAAACTAGCTTACTCTGTGCAGAGATCGAATCCGTTTTCGTTGGTCTCCTCCAAGGGGGAGCCCCAATCTACAGCTATGTCCTTAAAAAGCCACATGGCTTTTGTGGTGTGTGTGTGTGTGTGTGTGTGTGTGTATGTCTTGTGGCCCTGCCCACTCCTTACCTAACTCCTCCCACTACAAGCCCAGTCTGAAATAAAATCACAAGACACAGTTTTGGGCAACCACCCCAGTCTTTTGCCTTTTGGAAGCCCTCCTGACAGACAAGTTTCTAGTCCTTAGGTTTGCAATGAAGCTGGCAAACACTTGGGCAGGTTTGGAGGGTGAAATTTCCGAGTCTTGAGCTTCAGCAAAATAGGAGTTTGACTTTCAGGACCACGGAGAACTCTTGGACCTTCTCTGCCAGTAGAGCCTCTTTCCATTTCACACTAAAGTCAAATCCTTAAAAACTCAATTTCTGTGATGCAAATTGCTTAACACCAAACTCTCAAAGGAAAGGTTTCTTATCCACGGAGGCCTATTAATCCAAGTTCCTCCCTGTTTCATTTTCGCTCCATTTCTAGTGATAAAATATTCCTTCCCCCCCTTTCCCCCCCCCTTTTCCTTCCAGATGACCCTTGTCGATCTCGGCGTTTCAAAACCATCTCTTAAAATTAATATTTAAAATGAACATTTTCCCCACACCCACAAACCTCGGTGAAGAAAAGCAATTGCCGCATTCCCACAACGTGGAATATACCCAAGCAGAATACAGTGAGTCTTTGACTAGCAACCACCAGGAAAAAAAAACTATGGGGAAAAGAGAGACGGGAGCAAAATTACAACGGGAGGTCTGGGCAGCCTCACCTGTCCTGGCTGTGCTCGGAAAGGAAGCCCCGGGCAGGCCTCACCTCCACCCAGTTCAGGCTCTTGATGGGGCTTCTCACCGGCATCTCTGAGCTGGCCGAGCAGAAGGTGGAGAAGTCGTGGGTGCCCATCAGAAACGTGGCTGCTTCCTGCATGGCGGCCAGGTTCAGGTGGCTAAACCAGAGGAAGAAGACTGAGGACGTGCCATCAAGCCCCTATTTATTTATTTATCTATTTATTTATTTGTGAGACTTATATACCGCTTTAAGTGCAAGCACTCTCTAAGCGGTGTACACCAGTAAGCAATGTATATATCTATTTACATTGCCCCCAACAATCTGGGTCCTCATTTTACCTACCCCAGAAGGATGGAAGGCTGAGTCAACCTTGAGCCGGTGAGATTTGAACCGCTGACCTGCTGAACACAGTCAGCTAAAGTGGCCTGCAGTACTGCACCCTAACTGCTGCGCCCACCTCGGCTCCTTTTTTGACTCCTAGTGACCCCAACTAGGTCCTTTGAAGATTTCGGAGAAGGAAAATGCGCTGCAAAAAAACCTGCTTCCCTTGGTCTATCTCGGCATCTCTACATAGTCCTACAAATCAGACCTAGCGGTCCTCCCCCAAATATTAATTTTCTTTGGGGGAAACTTGCCAGACTCTTTGAAAGGGTCTAGAGGCTGCAAAGTGAACAGTGGAAAATAGCGAAAAAGCTAACGTTCGCAAGGACGGGAGGACACCATTTCTGTCTATTTTATAATAGCTGAAGGCCCCGGTATTTGAAAAAGCACTTCATAGAAAGGCATTCTGACTGAGGCCCATTTAGAAATTCAATCCATTTTTCACCTGTGTTGTTTTTCTCACGCCGATCGAAATAAGAGCACCTTAATTCTACAGCAGGATCCCCTCGTGCCTAGTAAAACCCTAACCCTTGAAAAAAACTATCCAGAGTAGGATTTTGTTAGGGAGACCTCTGAGAAAGGTGGCTGTACGGATAAAAGAAGAAATCTGGAAGAAAGCAACAGTGAGGTCGCTTCCAACTGTTACCAAGAAAATGGCAGCCACATCTACTAAGGCACCAAGAGAGCAGGTCTCATGGACCGTGGGACCCAATCCCTTGATTGGATTGAATTGACTGACACCGCCATCTTTTTCCCGTCAGCCTGGCTGAGGCTCGGAGAAAACGCGCTGAGCCACGGAGATCTGACGATCCCCAGTGAGACTCGGTGGCTCTTTCAAGTTACAGCTCCAACAACTCTTGGAGAGGAAGCAGATTGTGGAAGTGTGTTCACCCACGTCTTGGCACATCCAGTCGCTGCATAATTTATGGGTGACCTGGTGACGCTGCAGATGCCAAGGTCGTTTTCTGGGAGCCAGCTCAACCCAGATCAGTTAAGATCTTGCAGGCCCAGCTGGGGATCCGCCGTCCCGATCTTGTGTGTCTTCAACATCGGGAATGTTAAGGCTCAAAGTGGGTGTGCAAGCAGGAGAGGGAAGCAAGGGGCCATCTCTTTGTGAACTAGACATCCACAAACTCAGGAGTTTCACCAACTTACCCACGCCAGTTTGCCCAGCAGAGATCCCGTTCAAAGACCGGCAGGTCAGAATAGGCTGTGCAGCCTGTGGCCACCCGATACACGTAGGTCCTGGCTCGGGCCGAGAAGCGGGCGTGGAAGTTGCTGGAAACCCTGCAAGCGCTCAGAACGCTTTCGGAAAGAAAACGGGGGAAGAGGCAGGGATTTGTTTAATTTCTCCGCAGTCTTTCATTCAGTGTGGCTTTATGCAAAGAGAGCTCCCTTCGTTTTTATCCACTCAACCACAACCCTGTGAAGGAGGCCGGGGAGAAAGACGAGAGCGCCCGGCCCAAAGTTACCCAGCGAGTGTCCAGGACTGAAGGCGGACTCGAACTCAAGCCTTCTCAGTCCTGATTCAACAGGCAATCATTCCGAGGGATTCGGTTGCCCGTTTGAGCAGGTCCTCTGGATCTTGGTCCACCCCAAGATTGACAAAAGGGCTTTCTTTAATGCCTCGGAGCAGTGGGGTGGGTTATCAGCCTGGCTCCTCCCTGCTGTTAGGAGGTCCTAGGACAGTGGTTCTCAACCTGTGGGTCGGGACCCCATTTGGGGTCGAACGACCATTTCACGGGGGTCGCCAAACAACGCAGTCCGCCATTTTTCCCCCCCTTTTCCTTAGCTGTGCTCCTCCCTTTTATTCTATTGGCTTTGGAAAGCCAATAGAATAGACTCTCTTGAACAGAGTCTAATTCTATTGGCTTTCCAAAGCCAATGGGAATTGTCCAGGCTGTCTCTGCCCTGCTGAGCCCGCCAAAAGTCCCATTCTGCAAACGGTGCTGCACCAGTTGAGTAGTCCTCGACTTACGACCGGTTGGGGGTCGCGGCATTAAAAAGGTTGAGAACCACTGTCCTAGGATCTGTGTAGCCCAGCCAGTTCCTGACACACACCTCCCCAAAAGCTGGGGAAGGGGCAGATGTCACACCTTATCATTTCTCCTTTAGCAAAGGCTCACCGGCTCTCCAGAAGACAGGGCCTCTGGCTCCACCATTTGGGGAAACCAGAAGTGATGTATTTATTTAAGAAGAAAAGACTCCTGAATTTAAGGTAATTCCTCACGGCCACCCTAGGAAAGATTATATGGTTGGGGGGGGGGGGAATGGTCTTCTTCTATTAGGGTATTCTAAACCTTCCTAACTTACAGGGCAAGTATTAACCTCCAGAAGTTATGGGTGCTCCATCACTGGAGGTTTTTAAGAAGAGACTGGACAGCCATTTGTCTGGAATGGTCTAGGCCGGGGATAGGCAACATTGGCTCTTTTATGACTCGTGGACTTCAACTCCCAGAATTCCTGAGCCAGCATGGGGGAACTATGGCCCCCTTCATGACTTGTGGACTTCAACTCCCAGAATTCCTGAGCCAGCCACGCGGAGGGGAAAGGGAGAGGTTTCCAAGCTGAGCCAGGCTGGCTCAGGGATTCTGGGAGTTGAAGTCCACGAGTCCTAAAAGAGCCAAGGTTGCCTACCCCTGGTCTAGGCTCTCCTGCTTGAGCAGGGGGCTGGACTAGAAGACCTCCAAGGTCCCTTCCCGTTCCCTTATTTGTAGGGAAAAATAATGTAACCTTGGTTTCAGGCGAAGGCACAAAATGTTAGGCATTGCCAGAAAACAATTCTGCAGGCCGGGCTCGGGGGGGGGGGGGAGAAGGGAAGGGAATGCAGAAAAGAGCTCATTCAATGGAAAGCTGGAAAACATGCTGGGTTGGCCTCCAAGTCGGGCTGTCAAACAAAACACAGATTAGGGGACAAAGCAGCTGAGGAGGGAATGACATGAGCGAATGAAGGACCCAAACCTTTTTCATTCTCTTGGCACAGACGGGGGGCAAGGGGAGAGAGGCGAGAGGGGCTGATCCCATGAGGGGAGGGGAGTTTTTCAAACGTTCCAAAACAGGCCTTTTGTTTAAAAACCACACCAGGGAGAAAGAAGCAAGGTTGGCCGTGACCCTGGAGGCACAGGCTTTATTTCATGTCGGTTCAGAGTTCGGGACCCTTGGACGCCCCCCCCCCAACGACATGAATTTGGAGGCTGAAGAGGAAAGCAAGGAGAAGGAACGAGGAGTGTGCGAAGAGACGCCTGTTCTGCCCTTCTCTGGAGTGGAACCGGTTCTTCCCACTGGGGTGCAGCCACGGGGGCCAGAGGACCCAGCTTATGTAACATCCGAACGAGATGCACCTCCTTCCTTGTCCCCAAGTAACTCAGCCCACCGGGAGAGTAGGTGTGTGCGCGCTCTGAGAGAGTGCCACATGGCAAGGATGCCATGACAACGCATGGAGATCGCAGGGGAGAAAGATCTGGCAGCGTGATCCACTCTGATCTTACCCTCAGGGCCACGGAAAGAAAAGCCCGCATGGAGGGGGAATGGACTTGCCCCCAAAATGAGTACTAGAGCCACGGTTTTACAGAATGACACAGTTGGAGGGGACCTTGGAGGTCTTCTAGTCCAACCCACTGAGCTAATTCCATTTACGCCCACAGACGAGCACAGATTTGAGTCTCTGGCTCAATGCCCCACCACCCAAGAGATTAAACCCACATTTCTGGAAACGGAAGAGACTCACCGGATGGGCTCTGAAAGGAGATGCTTGTTGAGCACCTGGACGAGGACGTCTTCGGAGAAGGGGGGCTGCCCCTCCTTCCTCTGGACATCCAGGTGGGCAGTGTTGCAGAGGGCATGCACCCCAGCGTCTGTGCGGCTGGAGATGGCAAATTTGATGGGCTCGGATGCTCTGAGATTTTCTGCAGCCTTCTGGAAAGGGGGGGGGAAGAGAGAAACAGACCCTCAGCTATTGAGGATTTAGATGTCTTTCACTTATAACAGTAAAAGCTGGAGAAAACTCACAGCGGCATCGCAGACGAATTTTGCTTGATGGAGTCTGGTTGTCTGGAAGGTTTTTTTTCTTTTTTTTAACTAGATCAGAGGTCCCCAACCTTCCCAGGTTGGTGGCCCAGAGGGAAAAGGAAGAGCAAGCAAGTTTGCACGTGCGTGCACACGCATGTGCAAATGGGGCTGCCAGCACCCATGCAACGGCTAGCACAAGCAGGGAGTGTGCACACACCGGCCAGCCATTCCAGTGGCCAGCAGACCACGGACCAGTGGTTGGCTATAGCCCACAAGTTGGGGACCCCTGCCCTAGATGACCAAGTGTAAAGAGCTAGTTGCAAATCCTCTGTTAAGGAGGTGGCAAGTTGGAGGGTCACGGCAGAGAACAATTGGAAAAGCTCTCACGGACGGGAATGGGAGCAGGATCCAGTACAATCTTGTTGCAGATAATCATCCCAAGCCCAGCAGGATTTTCTTTGCCTCTCCTGCATTCCCCCCCCCCTCTTCCGGTCTCTCCAAGGCGCTGAGCCGTCCTGGGCATCCATCCTGCTGCTTTTGATTGCCTGGGAAGAAATTCTTGGCTCTGGCACAGACTTTTAGAGTCCAAGAAAAAGATTTCTTTTCCCCCTTAGGCAGAGATCTCTTCTGGATGGATTTCATTGCAAAAAAAAAAAGGGGGTGGGTGGGGGGGTGGGGGAGTACCAGAAAGCTGGGGAGGGGGGGAATGAAAGATTCTAGCCAGGAAAGTAGACAATCCCCTCCCCCTGCATCCCAGCCAGCACATTTAAAAGATGAAAAGCAAAGCACACAATTCGGCCACGCTGGTTTCCCTGGGAGAGCTCCAGATTTTTGAAATCATCCTTGGGAAGAAGCAGCAGGCCCAACTTTGCCATTTCCCCCTTTTACTTTTTTGGGGGGAATAAAACTGCTGAAGTGGCCGTTCCTTTCTCAACAGTGGATCAGCCCTGGGCAAAGGGGATTCCTTGGAAATGAAGCACACCGGCCCGGCTGATCTCTAAAAGATCGCAGCAGCAAGGCCGGATCCGGTGGTTCGCAGTTGGGAGGCAAGATCACCAGGAAGGTCATAAGCTCCGTGGGGCAGTCTAAGGGAGCCCAAACAATCCAGAAGGGGGCAGCGGTGAGCCGAACAAGCACAGAGGCAAGCCAGGCTGACTCCACTCAAGGTAGACGGGTGACTTTGGGTCCTTCTGGGTGTGGAAAAGCTGAGCCGCCCCCCTTTGGAAAGGAGGCCAGTGCAGCAAACAGGACCCCTTTCCCCGTCCCGGGTGAAGGATCCATCCTAAGCCAGTTCCTTACCTCCAGGTGATTTTCCACACCAACAGCCGACATGCCGGAGGGCAGAGCCTTCACACCGCTGCAGAGGGCGAAGACAGAAAAAAGTGAAATTATGCTTTCCCAATGGTGTCAATGCATGGACAAATCAGATGCTTTGAGAAGACAAGAGGTAACCCCAGTCTTGGGTGTTCATCACCCTTTTTCTTTCAAGACTTCCCTGTCCAGCTGTCTCTACTGGATTCCCAGCCATCAGTGGAGAAATTCTGTATATAGAATTCCTTTGATTCCCCCCCCCCCTGCACCTTTTTGGAAATCCCATTGGCTTGTTTGCCCCTGGCAAGTTCCTCAACTACATACCCAGGTCTCTTTGTGCTCAACGTTAGCACACCCAAAGGAACAGAGATGTGCCAAAACTAGCAATTTTTGAACCCAATACCACAGCACTGTACTCTTTCCTACCGGTCATTGTTGAGCAGGGACATCCCCACAAAATTAACTTGTTCAGCTGCCTTAGTACTTACGGCTGTTTCTGTTATTCCAACAGCAGCTTCTGTTCCCCTTTTTTAAAGCACAATACAGATAATTACAGTAAGAATTATTATTCCCAACTCATTATCTGCTTTTAGCCTCAAAGTTAAAGCAAGCAATAGCTCTGAAGGCAAGCACCAAAATATATCCACTCAGGGTAGGTTAAAAGAAGAGTTTTTGCTAAGAATGAGTGGCACAGGCTTTTGTGTGAAATAATTGCCTTTTTAATAATATGCCTAACAAGGTTAAAAAGCAAATGAAAATATTAAAGTGGCAGGTGCCGACACAAATCCATATATGAATAACAGCTGTCACTGACATGCTAAATTCCAATTATTTCAATTCTTCCTGCCATCACTCAACCTGGCAAATGTCTCATTGCCTAAGAGCGGGGGTTTTCAGACTGTATTCTGGGAGCCCTGAGGTTTTGTGAAAGACTTAAGAGCAAAAAAATAAAAATAAAATAAATAAATTTGAACCCAGCCGTTCTTAGCTCCTGAGAGCTTTGCCTCTCTATCGTGATTCTGAGAACCATTAAAAAAAAAATCTTAACAAGTTTCTTGGTCTAAGAAAAGTGGAAAACCTCTTGTCCAAGCTAACAAATTAAGACAAAAATGGGGTGTTACCCAGACTGTCAAAACTGGGGGTGGGATGTGATCATCCTTCCTTATTCTCCCAAACGGCTGAGTTAATCTATGCTGTGCCCCAACAAAGGATTTCAAAATCAATTCTGGAGCAGAGCTGCATGTTGCTGAAACTTGGCTGGGTTCCAACCGTATGGAAATGCAGTATATTCCCCCATCTCATTTGGTATGGCTACGTCAAGCCTTGCGGTTCTTGAAAGATGAGCCTCTTGATGGCTTTCCCCATTCCTGTGCTATTAAAAAGTTCAGACTGTGTTGTTTCTCTCCTTAGTGACCAGAACAACAGAGTTTGGAAGGGATCTTGGAGGTCTTCTAGTCCAACCCCCTGCTCAAGCAGGAACCTTACACCATTTTAGACAAGTGGCTGTCCGATCTGTTCTTAAAAGCCTCCAGGGATGGAGCACCCACAACAGATGGAGGCAAGTCTTTCTGTTGATTAATTATCCTCACTGTCAGGAAATTTCTCCTTAGTTCTAGGTTGGTTCTCTCCTTGATCGGTTTCCATCCATTATTTCTTCTCTTTATTATTATTATTATTATTTATGAGACTTATATACCGCTTTAAGTGCAAGCACTCTCTAAGCAGTGTACACCAGTAAGCAATGTATGTATGTGTGTGTCTATATATATATATATATATATATATATATATATATATATATATATATATATATATATATATATATTTACATTGCCCCCAACAATCTGGGTCCTCATTTTACCTACCCCGGAAGGATGGAAGGCTGAGTCAACCTTGAGCCGGTGAGATTTGAACCGCTGACCTGCTGAACACAGTCAGCTAAAGTGGCCTGCAGTACTGCACTCTAACTGCTGCGCCACCTCGGCTCTTGCCTTCAAGTGCTTTGGAAAATAGATTTGACGCCCTCTTCTTTGTGGCAGCCCCTGAGATATTGGAAGACTGTTATCACCCTGGGTCCTTTTCACTAGACTAGACCTATCCAATTCATGCAACCGCCATATGTTGTAGCCTCCAGCCCCCTAATCATCTTTGTTGCTCTTTGGTGGCCAAACGGGAGGCAGTATATTCCAAGTGGGGTCTTACGGGACAATGCATTTCTTAGTAGGCAAAAGTTTACGTCCCCTCATGGCAGACCGTGTAATATTGACGGTATATTTGTCTTGTAGCTACATTTCTAAGCCGGAGCACAAGACTGCTGTTGTAAAAACATATCCAGCCCTGCAGCAAATCCAAAGGAGCGTAAAGCTTTAAAAGAAATGTTTAAATGCCATGCTTTCCAGCCATTTTGTCTTCCACAGTGGGATGAATCAGAATGTCCGATAGATTACAGGGTTGTTAACTTTTGCTCAGAATCCAAAAGCAAAGAAAAAAAAAACCAATAGTGGCATGCATTTACACACGACTCCTTCAATTAAGCAATTTATTCTCTTCTCTTCAATACAAAATAGCCGAGTAGAAGTCTAGAAGTCCATGCTCGGCACATGGGCCAGGGGTTAAGGGCATTAGTAATAGTAATAGTAGTAAAGTTGGAAGGGACCTTGGAGGTCATCTAATCCAACCCCTTGCTCAGGCAGGAAACCCTACACCATTTCGGACAAATGGCTGTCCAGTCTCTTCTTAAAAACTTCCAGTGTTGGAGCATTTACTGCTGGATTTATTCCTAGGGATTGCAATGAAAAACTTAAATTTCTTGCATCTATCCTTCTGCATTTAATCCTTAGATGACTCCCAAGGACGTCCATCATTGTTTTCTCCCTTGTGGTTTTTATTTATTTATTTATTTTTGCCTCTGAAGTCTTTTATTCCCCTACCGCCACTTTTAAGATTGCATTTGTCTATACGCTGTTCCTCTTACCTATATTTGGCCCCGAAGTATTGAAAGAAGATTAAGTAGCGAGTTTTGGTAGAGTTCATTTCGGCTTGCCCCCCCCCCCCAAAAAAAAATAAAGTTGCAATTTCGACCAGAACAGGCGCGCCTGGAAAAAAAACGCGTGCCCAATGGTGGCAGAAGTGACTCTCTCAAGCAAAATAATTTTTTTTGCAAAGCAGAACAATTGCTCGCCTCTAAAAATGTCTTTTTTTTTTTTAATTTGGCTTTAAAAATGCTTCTTTAATGAAACAAGACAAGCCACCCGGCTGCTGCCTTCCTCCTGATCCAGGACTTTTTCCACGCTCTAGGCGCCTGGGGATAAAGGCCCCTTCCAGGTGTCTATCCGGCTGCCTGCCCCGCTCGAACACATTACCTCGACCGCTTTCAGACATGCTACACGCGAGATATTTCTCTTGCTTGATTTATTTCCCTTCTCCCTCTTCCCCGGGGTCGGTAATGGATATTTCCCAGTCCCAACTGGTTACCTCTTTGCCAGGCAGTCAGCCGGTCACCTAAGCTCGGTCCTACTGAAAAGATAGGGCGATTGCAAGGGGACCTAAAGGGGGCGGCGTCGCGCCTTGATTGCAACCTTCGCCTGTAAATGGCACGGCGGCCAGGAGTGGGAGGGGCTTATTCAGCCGGAGCTTTTCCGAAGGGAGCTGGGGAAAATTCCCAGCCTCGCAGAAAAACGCCCAATTTCTTTTGTGCAAAAAAAAAAAAGTCCCAATATCCAAGCAAAGTTGGAAAGCTAGGTACGTTTTTTTTTTTTTTTTTTTGTGGTTCTGGGCATCCTACGGGCAACACCTCTGACCATGTGCAGAATTCTTTCTCTCGGTGAGAAATATTCCAAAGCACAGAAACATCCTTGTTGTCTGTGGGTGGATTGTGGAGACAAACAACTCTTAATTATTTACCCTCTTGTCAGTTATTGAGGTAGACTCTTTTTAGTAATGGAGGTTTCACTAAAGAATCATGGTGAACCTCTGACCTTTATAAGCCCCTCTCAAAGTGATGGATATGAGGTTGAATCTGCAACAAATGCCCATTTTCTCTATTACATATGGAGAAAAAACACTTTCTGAGTGACGCCAGAGAGAATGTATGGGTGGATACTGACTATATCATGTTAGCCATGGTTAGTTTGGGGCTTGTTGTTGTTGTTTTTCTCCCAACTCTCCATTTTGTGAACAGTCCAAGAATAAATTCCTAGTTGGGCCCGCAATTCTTTTTGGCAACTAGTGAGAGCTCTGCTCCCAGACAGAAAAATGAAACAGAAATGAAACAAATAAACAGCAGCCTCAAGGCTTGGCAACCGTCAGGCATGAGTGCTTCTAAAAAGACCACCCATTATGATACCCACCACAGACGTCTGCCTCTATAAAAACTCCAGCTTTTGGCTTAAAAATAAACAAGCTTCTATCCCTTTTGATTGCAAAGATACCTTCTGTGTTAGAAGGATGTTTTGTTATATTCTCTGGGCTGATGTGATTGAATTCGGCTGTTCTAGAGAGGATCAAGATGGAGAGTCCCATTCAGGCATGAAAGCTGCTCTTTTGAGTTTATCCTGCCTCTCTGGGTTGTCGTACAGCTAAAACAGCTGGCTGGCATCTGGAAGAAAGTTTGAAAGCTTCAAATTAAGACCCGGAAGAGAACTAGCAGGAAGTTGCAGTTAAAATTATACTTAAATTCTTCTACGTAAGGAAACACTGATATATACACTCATTCATTCTTGGCGAGGGAAAGCCTGATTTTTATAAGGCCAGCAATAACTTAAATCTACTACAATTGACCCCCCCACCCCCCCCCAACAAAGGCTGGGCTATAGTGACAAAAAGATTGCCAAATGTAACAATCAATTTTGTGTGTCACTTGGAGTTCAGAGAAAAAGGTTCCCACGGCTTTGTGTGACGCAGGGTGAGGATTAAACAGCACGCCCTCTGCTGCTGATTGCTGTTGAGGCCTTACCCGTGCTAGATTACTCTGATCTGGGCCCAAACAGTCTTTGAGAATGCAGAATTGGAAGGCGATGTCCTCAGGGTCTTATTCTAAATCCCCCTCCCCCAATCTGGAGGGCTTCAAAGGAGCAGGGGGTGAAGCATTTGACCCATGTTCTATGGCCCAAAAGGCTCGTAAAATTACAGTCTTTAAAAGAGTCCCTACTTAGGAGCTTGGGAAGACAGCGGTGGGTCATCCAAGTAAATTTTGGGAAGAATTGACAGGGCAAATTCCTGGTATGTTTTCAAACATCCTTGCAATCCTGAGGGCTAGAAACTTGGCTTGTTTATAAACACGCCACCCAGCCCGAAGGAAGTCCCTTGACTGTTTCAACATGAGACATTGTCCTGTTTTACACACACAGAGACAGACACACATTGATGAAGCAAAGGACAGAGTAATGAGCTGGATTCAGGTTCTTATTTAAGAGCAGATTTCTGAAAATTCAGTCGGGACTGACTGCCTAATACTTAAAGGCAGTGTCCATTCTTGCCTTTGTGTGTATGTGTGTGTGTGTGTTTGCGAACAGCACATGATAAAATCAGCAGCTCTTTCACTGCAAGGCTGTTTCCAGCTGCAAATGACCAATCGGCAAACGGTGGAAAGAGCCACCATCTCTGTGGGAAACGCCTTGTTTCAAAAAAGGCCGCTCAGGCCATTGTGGAGGAATTTGGAGCACAAACTGCAGTTGGATTCTCTCTCTTTTGCCCCAAAAACTTTGGATAGGAGCTACTCTTTGACTAGGCTGAATCTGGGGGCCTTGCTGGGGTTTAGGTCAACATAACCCATGGGAAACTTTCTGAATCTGCAAAGCGCGTATCAATGTCAAACTAACGGAGCCTCCTTGATGTTTTTTTTTTTAGCTCCCCGGATGAGCTCTGGAGAGGAGATGCGGATGAATTTTAGCTGTTGGGGGCTCTGAATTCAACTGTCTATACCGATTTATTTCTGTGCTTCTCCAAAGAGAGGTTCCCTTCTGGACCATTTGTCCCACAAGGATCCCGCGAGGTAAACTAGCTGTTGGCCCTGAGGTTCATCTCCAGGTAGCCCTTGACTTACAACAATTGGGCCCCCCAAAATTCGGTTGCTAAGCGAGACTTTTCTTAAATGAGTTTTGCCCCGTTTGACCCCCTTTCTCGCCCCGACTGTTAAGCGAACCCCTGTTCAGTCAGTTCACACGGTCGTTAAGTGGATCTGGCTTCCCTATTGACTAGTCCAGCGATTCTCAACCTATGGGTCGCGACCCCATTTGGGGTCGAACGACCATTTTACGGGGGTCGCCAAACAACGCAATCCGCCGTTTTTCCCCCTCGGGGCGGCGCCGCGCATGCGCGGCGTGTGACAGGGGTCACCGTCGCACAAAGGTTGAGAACCGCTGGACTAGTCAGAAGGTTGGAAAAAGGGATCACCTGACCCAGCGACTGTGTAACCGTCATAAACAGGAGTCGGTTCCCGAGCGGTTGAATTTTGATGCTGCAAGTGTGCAAAACAGTCCCGTCCGCTTTTTCGGTGCCATTGCCGCTTCAAGCGGTCATTAAATGAACTGCGCTGTAAGCCGAGGACCACCTGGACTCAATTGGAGTCTAAAACCATCACCTAACCCACAGGCCTGTTTCACCTGTCGGGCTAAGCCCTGGCTTGCTTGCTTGTGGTTTATTGGAAAGCTGACCTCTAAACCCGCGTCTAGAGGCTGGCTTAGCCAGAGCGGCTGAGATAGGCCAAAGGGGGGGGGGTGCCCGAATCCCGGTCCGTTCCCCCATTCCTTTGGGCCGATCCCCCCCCCCGGCCCAGTTGAGGGCGGGGCCAGCGCGCTCCCGGCTGCCACCTAGGGGCGGTGGGAAGGTTTGCAATCCGGATCAGCTGGCTCGGCGAGGCTCGGAGCGGCAGCGCCGGAGCCAGTCAAACGGGGCCGGGGCTGCAAAGGCGTCGCCCCCTCGCCGCCTCCGGGGAGCTGGGCGAGGCGGCGGCGGCTGGGCGTCGCTGGTCCCGGAGTTGGCCGACGCTCCCTGGGCTGCTGACAGCTCGGCTCCGCAGCCTGCCTCCTCTCTCTCTCTCTCTCACACACACACACACACCCCGCCTTTCTTCCAGGCGGCCAGCCGTGCGCCAAGGCGAGGGCGTGCGCGTTGCGCAGGGCGTCCCCGGACCGGCTCGCTCGCTCGCTCGCTCGCTGCAGCTTCTGGGCGCGCGGTTGGAGATGCGCCTCCCCGGCTTGTGAGCGGCCTCTCGCCCTGCCTCCCCCCCCCTCTCCCCACCCCCGGCGGCCAAGATGACGGTGGAATTCGAGGAGTGCATTAAGGATTCGCCCCGATTCCGGTAAGGGAGGCGTCCCTTTCCCCCCCCCCGCCCCAACGACCCCTTTGCAAAGCGGAGCCGTTTTCGGGATTGCGCCCGCCTTGCCAGGCGTTTTTCTCGCCTGCCTCGCCGGCTTGGATCGGTGGGGTTCAAGGTGGAGGGGTTTTGGGGGGAGGGGGCGTTGCAATGGTTTCTCGTGGGGGGGGGAGACACGAGCGGCGAGGGCTGCTGCGGGTTACTCGCGCAACACACACACACACACACACACACACACACACACACACACACACACACACACTCTCACTCACTCACTCACTCCTCACCCGCGCACCGCGCTCGCCTATTGTTAAGAGTCAGCCTCGCTTCGGACGACGTCCCCGCCGCCGTGTTAGCCGCGCGAGGAGGCAAACGGGGGGTGGTTTTTCTCCCGTTTGCCTACAGCTGCTTGCACGGGGTGGGGTGGAGGGGTGGGGGAATAGGGAAGGTATCCTTTAGGGCTTTCCTTTCTCCCCCCCCCCCTCCCCCGTTCCCCGCCTTCTCTACCTCATCGGTAGATTTCCCTGGGGAGAACAGCTCGGCTGCTTGGTGTGCCTCATGAGATCTAGTCACCTGGCTGGCGTTTTGCAAGGGGCCCGGCCTGGTGGCCACACGAAGCTTGGTTCCATTGACTTTGCTGGGGGGGGGGGGAAGAGTGGCATGCGCATGGCTGGGCGGTTGCAGGAGCCCCACGCCAGACGGACGGCGGTGGTGGAGGACCAGAGGCCTCCGTGCATCTGCAACCGGCCATCGCCAGCTTTCTTGTCTGGTGTGAGAACAAATAAAGGAGCCTGGGGGAAAAATGGATGGCGCAGAAGCATCCCTCGAAAGCCAACTTGGACCCTGTCCTGTGTGTGTGTGTGTAAAAGCAGAATGGGGAGAGCAGCTTGGGAATGGGTTTTGACCCTCTGCCCCAGACCCACGGTGGTGACTTGGAAGGCGGGAAGGGACTGCTGCAATCTCCCCCTCCCCTCCCTTGGTCACATCAAGGTCGTCCGTGGCCACGCGCCTGTGTGCTAGAAGGGTGGAGGCTGGGAGGGGGAGACAGGCAGGGCTGGCTGCCATCGTGATGCACACGGGCTAAATGGACAGGCCGGGATGCGCTGGCTAAAAATACGTTGGAAGGGCAGGATGGCTCAGCGAAGGGGGAAGCCAGCCCTGTTCCTAAAGCTGGAAGAGAGCAGTGTGTCAAATGTGTGTCAAATGCTTGCTGGCGGACGTGGGAGCGTGCTAATGCGTGTGTCTGTGAGGATCAGTACTGTATTGCTATCTCTTATTTATTAGGTATTGATTGAAGCATGACGTCTGCTCCACTTTTCAGCCCGAAAGGTTCCCAGAAAAGAATTAAAGGCCTTTAGGCTTACACTCGGAAAAGACACAGCATAAGAGGATAAAAGGAGGGGGAGGGAAATCCCTGAGCCAGCCTTGCTGAGAAGAGAAGGAAAAGCCAGGGGTCACAAGAGAACCCGTAATTTACTGTCATTCCCCCCCCCCCACACACACCTGTTAATTTCCTCTGGGAAGCTGAAAAGCAGGGAAAGGGTGGCATGTAGTCTCTGAGCATGCGCTGAAAGGTACCAGATAGATGGCTCTTTGATGGCAGAGGAAAGCTAGTTTCCTCTTTCTTTTGCTCGGCCTTTCGGGATCGCGTTTTTTGCAGCACTGTTCTGGTGCAAGGTGATAAAAACGGAGGGTTTTTTTGCTTCAGGCCCTACCATCTGGATCAAATTTTCTTTCCTCTTGGCAGTGGCTTCCCTTGCGATCCTCCAGGATTAAGATTAAATATTAAGCACTCGAAGCAACATTTGCTTGTTCACAGTTTAGGAGCTTCTCTGTTCCCTTTAGGGATTAGGTAAAATTTGAATGCTCCAGTTCTTCTGTCCATTGCCTCCGTTCCTTCATTCATATATGTATGTATGTATGTAGGTAGGTAGGTCTTTGGTTATTCGGGTTTTCTCCCGCGTAAAATTGGAAGTGTCTTGGCGACGTTTCGACCAAGTCCCCTTCGTCATCTTCAGGCGGGTGTTTTCGGCTTCGTGCTTTGCTCCTCGAAGCACAAAGCCGAAAATACCAGCCTGAAGATGACGAAGGGGACTTCATCGAAACGTCACCAAGACACTTCCAATTTTACGCGGGAGAACACCCGAATAACCAAAGACCTACATACAAACACCCGCGAAAACCTCAGAAAACATACATATACATATACATATATATATATATATATATATTCTCATCCATCCTCTGCTTGCATGACAAGACCAAAGTATATGAGTTCCTAGAATAGGACTGGGCAATTACGGTCCCTTTACGACCTGTGGACTTCAACTCCCAGAATCCCAAGCCAGCCGTTCCTGATGAGACACTCAGGAATTCTGGAAGTTGAAGTCCACAGTGTGAAGGGGCCATAATTGCCCACCCCTGTTCTAGATCATTATTTAAGGACAACTTGGTCTAGGCCTGACTGCCGCTGTCCGTGGTACTCAGGGTACTTTAGATCCCCAGAATTTGCAGGTGTCCCCCTTCTTTCTCTTCAGGTGTGGCCGGCTTTCCCAGCCACACCTTTGCCATGTGAGAATGCAGAAGAGGATGTTTGATTCTTGTGGGGTTTACTGATGGGATCCAATCCTACTTTTTCAATAAGGCCATACGGATTTATTTTGCGTACTACCACATGTCCTGAGCTGTTCCATTCTCTGTGGAATCTCTCTTCAGATGCTAGGCAGAGCTTCTCAATGGGGGCAGGCAGAATTCTTTCCTAGCCTTACCTGGAGATATATCCAAACCTCCAGGGACTTTTCGCAAAATGAAATTGTTGAAGCTCGCATTTGTAGTCTGACCCGGGTTCTTGTGGGTATGCAAATATGTGTTTCCTCCACGAGAGAATTGTGGTTTGCCAGCTCTCTCGGTGCTTCTGAGACAGAGGTATATTGGAGTGACTTTCTCGCTCTGTTGGCTGGGAACAGCAAGCCAAAATGATGGGAGAGCTTGCCTAGAAAAACTGCATTACGCTTTTGAGGGATTGGGGATTTCGGAACAAGAAGAATGGCCTTATTGACAGAAGGCAACCTATTTGCTAGACGGCGCTGAAACTAGCTTGACACAGCCTGCTGAGTGCAGTGTGGTTTTCCTTTCAGGTTATTAGACACAGCATTGTTACTTGTTCTTTCCCCCTTAATGTTCAGTTGTTTGAGTACTGCTTTGAGAAGTGTACTTTACAAGCATCCAATTAAAAAAAAAAAATTGGTCTGGATTGGGAAAACTGCATTCCGTCCGGATTATAGAGGCATGTTGGTGCTCTGATGTAAGTTGCAGACGTTGCTGGCCCTGATGGGATCTTGAGCTTGCAGAAGACGGAGTCCTCCTTCAGCTTGTTGAGTGAGCAGGGCCGGGGAGTTAAAGCTCGTGGATCTTGCTTTAAGCCCCCTGCGTTCTCTGCTTGGGAAAGGAAGTGCTGTGGCTGGGGTTTTTTTTGGCAGCCGACTTACCCAGAAACTAAAGATGCTGTTCTACCTTGACCTTTCCACGTTTCCAACTTGGCTGTGTGATTTGCAACTACAGGCAAAGCAAAAAGGCTCAGATGTTAGAGAAACGGGCGTGCACTGTGCAAAATGAAAGGCGAGGGCCTGTGAAATAAGAGGAGTGCAAGACTAAGAGAGCATGTGAAGAGAGGTCCCTGCATACTGCTGCTTTTGCACCCGGGCTTCATTCGAAATGGAACTTTGGAGATGAGATCTGCACAAGGCTGGTGAAACGGGGCCAAATTTGGGCGGAGTTTTTCCACTTGAGTTGATCTTTTTTTCCCCCCCTTCTGGCAATCTAACCTGGCAGATCAGTGGCTGTGTTTCAGTTCTGTTGCACAGAGGAGAGAGGTGGGTGGGCTGGAAATGCATCCTTGGCCATGGGCCAGATCAGTGACCTCACTGATCAGATAGCCTCCCCCTGTGGCTGTGACCCTTTGTGATGGGACTCGGGAGGTGGAGCGTACGGGCTTTGGTGTGTGTTTATTTAACGCATTGCTGTGGGGCTCGCCATCTTTCTTGGGATGTGCTCTTTCGAAAATCCCAAGCTGTCTGGTGTCGTGGCAGCTACCTATAGTTTGTGCTGAGCTCTTCACCATCACCGCGGAGTTTACCACATTTGGCTGGGTTAGGGGCAGGGGGGGCTGCTTAGAAATTGGGTGGAAGATCAACAGGAAAGCTCAGGGCAGCTAGACTGGCCAGGAAGTGGAGAAAGCATCCTAGAAAAAGGCAGCAGGAAATTGCGTAACACAACACGGACAAGAAAAATAGAGGGATGGGTGTCTATAAAGCCACCAAGAGTTAAACTCAGTCCAAAAGAGACTGAATATTTATTAATGTAATTGTTGCCCAAGTGGGCAGTCCAGACGGATTCAAAATGGATATCAAGGGTTGGGGGGGGTTTTCGGTACAGGATCTGGGCATCTTTCAACACTGGGTTTCAGCTTTTGGATCAGATCAGGGCAAAATGTTACATCGTTGTTTCTTAAACTTTTCCAACAACGGAAGAATGGACGGTTATTTTCTTTTTAAAAAATGTAGAATGCCTGTGGTTGCTGCTTTTTTTTTTTTTTTTTTAAAGAAAACTGGGGGAGTAACCGGAATACTAAAAGAAAGCATATTTTAATGATACTCTGCTTCTTCCTAGCTTTTAACGCACTGATGATAACTCTCAATAGAATGAATGAGTTTGTGTGTGATGGATCATTTCTTCTCGCAGGGCTTGTGAGGATTGTTGCAGTTTATGGGTCATCTGTCCTGTTGGAAGGTTGATTTAAATGTATTGTGTTTGAAAAGCTTTGCAAACTTAAAAACCGGCTGTTTTGTTAGCAGCCCTGTGGAAACATAGCTTGGGAAGGTACAGCAGTGTATCCCTTTTGACGCAGAAATAATGTGATCGTGATAGTCCTCAGCCACAACTCAGCCCAACATTTTGGTTGCTAAGCGAGACGCATGTCAAGCCAA